TGCCACTGTGTTTCATGATGTGGAGGCAGTGTGAATGGTGTATTCACTGTATTCCATACATCAATTTTGGCAACAATACCCTCTGCTTCCAGTCTTCCATAAAAACTATAGTTGAGGAGTATATCAATTATAGTCTTATCAATGTAATTTCCTATTAGCCATTAATCTCTTAAACTTCTTGGCCTCTTGGCTCTTTACTAGAATTATCCTTACCTTAGTCATCCATTCATTGTATCTGAAGGATCATTTCTTCATGGCTTAATATTTGTGCCATGCCAGGCTTTTTAAATCATACTAATGAATAACACAGTATTGTCTTTATGTTCAAATATTGTATTTTATAAAACTAACCTTGAACCTTTTATCCCAGCTTGGTTCCTTAGTCTTAATGATGCTGTCTGTTGACTAAGGCCTTCAGGAAGCAGTTGCATTTATAGGAATAAATGACATTCAGATGGATTATTTACTGATTAAGTGGCCTCTTAACCCCAATAAAATGCTTAGAATGCAGTCCTTAGAACTGGATATAATAGAGGAAATTTAGTGATCAGGAATATTTTTCCGCCTCTGTTTTTATGGTCAAATCTGTATCCAGTTGCTTCTGCACAGACCACACATGCAGCTCTGCGTGTCATGTGTCAGCTAATTGTGCCGTACCTTATAATGTTATAATCCAGTAGAAATGGATTTGGTCACTGTCTGAACCGTAAGCAGTCAGAGGGGCTTGATGAATGATCTCCTCTCAGTGTCTGCAGGCATGTGAAGTGCTGTGATGATGACCCGGCTGATGTCTAAGTGAGGGTGAAGATAAAGCTCCACATAAATCAGCTCAGCAGAGAGGTAACAGCAGACTCCCACATATCACAGCAGGAATTTGAGGGTGGCCTAGAGGAGGAGAGGAATTCTGGCAAGATTGCCAAACTTTAAACAACGTGTTTAGAGAGACAAGGAGGGAGTTGTTATCATGGAGAGGGTGTTTTTATATTGCTGCTAGTTTCTCTGGAGTTTTGTCTTCTGTTGGTTTGTTTATCTCCATCTTTCTTTGTGTAATCACATGACGGCTTCCATTTGTTTGCTCCAGAAAACCGGAGCAAACAAATCTGAAAAATGTAATCTAAACTTCTTGACTTTTAGCTTTAATTTAAGGGTTAAAACAAAAGAAATTGGACCATTTCTTGCTTACTTCATGATTCCTAAGGGAGGTAAAGGATTGCATTTACAAACACATGTGGAGCTTATTAAAGAAGTGATATTGCTAAACTATCTTTTAGCTATGAATTTGGTTCACTACCTTAACAAGATAATTTACCATTTAATTTTTATGACATTTCAAATGTGTTTTATTCATGTTCAGTTATTGAAAGTTGGACTGAAGCCAAATTGTGCTAAACAACTAAAAAATATGGCCACCTGGTGGCAGACATAATGTTTACATTCACAGGACCCTATGGCTATTCAGGCAAAATTATGTGAAAAGCTACAAAACAAGAATATATTTAGTTCAATTAGCATGAACCTACATGGAACAACCGATCCAATTACAATGCTAATAAAGGGCTTTTTCTTCTGTTATCAAACCCCATTGTAACAATTAGCCAAACTTTTAAAGTAAATGTAAAAAGACTTTTTTTCAAGCTCCAGTGTTTAATAAATACAGGGATTTACTGACAGAAATGTGATATATTATACATAAGTATGGTATTTATTGTCTTCTGTGAACTGAAAGTATCAATCTGTTTTGCATTAGAAATTGCTCTTTTTAATTTCATTGGAGTGGCCTTGACTTAGAGCAACCTTTCCTATCTTTTCCTTTATTCAAAATTTAGTTAAATCCAATTTACACATAACAGAGAAGAGAAAAACTCCCTTTTAACAGGAAGAACCTCCAGCAGAACCAGGCTCAGTTTAAGCGCCCTTCTGCTAAGGCCGACTGGGGGTTTCAGAGGAGAAAAGCAGACATACAAAAGGAACATGGATGGACTGATCTATGAATGCTTTCTGTGATAGAAAAGGTAATAGTAAACTAGTTCCAGGGCTAGCTCTGTCTGAGAAGGAAACGGTGAAGTAGGCTCTAACATAGTTTTCATGTCAAAGGGATGAAAGAGAGGAAACACAGTCATACTAAAAGCTAAGCCTATATTTATGTCAAGTAGGGAAAAAGGACTAAACTCTAAAAAACAGGCCCCACTCTAGAATCTATAATCAAAGGTGTTGACATCCCAGCTGATATTTATCTCCAGGATGGCGTCACAGCAAAACAGCAACAGACCAACTGTGGTTACAATGAGGGGAGAAAGCAAAGAGGACATACATGTAGGGGTTTGAACAAACCAATGCTGCAAAATGAGAGAATAGAGATAGAATAAAGCAGAATTAGGAAAAGAGGTCCCTATGTCCTCCAGCAGTCTAAGCCTGTAGCAGCACAACTATAAGCTTTATAAAAAAAACAAAGTTTAAATCCTAGCCTTAAAAGTAGACATGGTGCCAAGATTTAAACCTTGAACCTTCTTGCTCTAAGGCAACAGGACTACCAACTGCCCCACTGTGTACCCCGCCTTGCTTGAATAATATGTAGTTGAAGTAGTATAACATTAATACAAAATAGATAATACAAACTGAATCTGGTGTAAATGAGAAAATCAGCAAAAAGTCCTGCTCCTGCTTGTCAAGATTTGGTTGTGGTTTGTTGACCCAAATGCAGAGGCAGGGAGGCAGAGGGGAATTTCTTGTGGGTTTAATGAAAAGTTAACTGAACACAGAGGCAGGAAATCCAAAAATCCAAACATGAAAACGAGGTCAAAACAAACCAGCAACCATGGAGACATCAGGGGGAATACTATCACAAGGAGGAAGGCTCAGAGAGAGGAGGAAGTTAAACGAGGAACCAGCACTGAAGAACTGCACAGAGAGAGTATTTATGGGAGACTTAAACAAAGAGAGGGCTAACGAGCAGATTGGGAGCAGGTGTGAACAGAGCAGAAACAGGAAATGAGCAAGGGAAAAAGGAGAACACAACAGGGCAGCAGAGGGCAACAAATAAAAACCTGAGAACTGAAAATAACCAGAAAACACAACAAAATAAGAATGAAACCACTAAAACTAGAAAGTAAAACCAAATACACACACACACACAAAAAAAACACAGAACTATAACACTGCTAACATACAACAAAAAAGGTATCTCTCTTAACGGACACACCACTCATACATTAACAACTCAAACAAGGTAGTGGCAGCATCATGCTCTGGTGATGCTGCCACTACCTAGTTTTCTTTTCTTTAGTTCCCACTCTATTACAAGCTATAATCTCTAAAGACCAAAGCCTCTCAAAGTCCAGTCAAACTGGGGTGTTAAACAGAGAAAAATGTGATAACTCCCAAATTCTTTGATCTTATTGCTTCATCAAAGCACATGATAGAACATTTTTTTGCAGGTTTTCACACCACCGATTTCATAACCCTGGAGTGTCTTGATATAGATAAGCAGCCACTAATTTGGGGAATTTATCCCTTTTTAGGCAGAATGTAAAACTGAAACAGCTGCATTTTTAGGCAAAGTCAATCTGCAGCTTTTTGTTTATCATTGTAACAGTTCTTTGTATTTGCAGTGGGATGAAAATGGTCTTCTGTCAAAGTTCCCTACCACAAAGTGAATCTCTATGTCATATAAATCTACTGGGTGCAAGCTGCAGTAATGAGCCACACTAAAGAAACACACTAGTTATGCACATATATAGACAAAAAGGAGAAGATTTCATCCAAATATTTTATGGCAATGCAAGATTTCTGAAAAACTGATAACATTATTTATCAAATACAGGGATGATGGTAATATTTCTTTTAAGACAGAAGGACATGCTTTAAAAACATGTACAAGCAGAAAGAAGAGGAAAGGAGGCCTAAAAGCATGTAGATGGACAGATGGAAAGGCCACGGGGGTGGCAAAGATGAGCTTTAAAAACATTAGGTGGAGAGAATTACAGCGCCAGAGAACAAGGTCTTCTAGGGAGTGCTCTATGAGCTCAGCTAAAGAACAAAGGAAGAGGTTTATTGAAGCACTGAGCAGATAGCGTGTTGTTTGAGTGTCTGACACCTGCCATAAATCCCAAATCCCACAGTCTGCTAGCAGGGGCCAGGGTCAGACAAAGAAAGCACAAAGAAACAAGCCGAGAAGAGATGGGAGGTATATGATTATACTGAGAGGTAAACTGAGACGTAAGCTTTCTTTGAATCACCTAAACCAGATGGGTAGGAAATTCTTTTCCTCTGAGTTACTTTAACATGGTACGACATCCTCTTCCTGCTTAGACATGGCAACATAGGAAATGTAAACAATTTCAGGGCTGAGATACACTAATCAAATTAAAATTCCTCCTCCGGCCCTCATTACTACTGTTGCTTAACAGCAATCCTCTCATTCAGTCTGCTATTGGTCCAAACTCCAAATGACTCATTACCGGCTGTAACTATTGAAACCTGAGAAACACAAATACTTGGTGGCATTAGTCCCAAGGGGTAAATACCAGTCATTATTGCTTGCCTTCTGAATGCAGTGAGAGGTGTTTTAAATAAGTACAGTGGAATCAATTACATATTAAATTATGCATTTTTGTTCATGCAAATAGTTGAACAATGAGCAAAAGATTTCTTGAAATCATAGAAAAATACATTGCTATGTCTTTAAGGTGATTTCTAAAAATGTTGATTTTATTTGGAAGTTTGGAAGTTTGGGATTAAATGTTTTTCTGCAATGCTTTTTCAATAAGCAGAGTTTTTTTTTTTTTTTCACCATTACAAGTCATTTCTATCGCATAACTTCGCCAGTCCAATTAGTGAAGGGTGTTTTGTTTTTTGTGTGTTTTTTTTTGTTTGTTTTAATCTTGTCTGCTCTCAGTAGAAACAAAAGCTCCCTGTTCATCCAGCAGCCCAATTAGTGCATACAAACATGCCTTTTCAGATATGAGTTGTTGATCCATCAGGAATCTGCCTGCTTTACATGAAGCCCAAAATGAATGCATATGTCACTCCGTGCATGTGTGCCAGTTTCTTTAATGTGACGTAAGATTTCATTGGCTTTAAATCTGTAGGGCAACAAGCCACAGCCAAACACAGGTCAGACAGAAATACATATTTCAACATGTTAGCTGCAGCGATACTCTCAGTGCTCTTGACGTTGGGGGGTCTTGGAGGTGCGGCGGCGTCTGACTTACACATCTTTGGGAAATCCTTCTACAATGATGGAACCCTGCGGAGCAGCAGTGATGACAGGTACACTGTGAGGAAGCAGCAAAGCCAGCAGGTATGAAGCAAGCGAACAGAGAACCAATGACATCTGTCTTATGCTAAAGTCCTTCCAATATTGGAGCAGTTGTTGTTCCTTTTAATCATATTTCAAATCCTAGGCCTATATCATGAATGGTAGTCAGTTTTCTCCAGCTTAAGGAGGACTTAACTGAATATTTAGTAAATAGGACAGACATTTGAGAACAGATTTTTTATGCCCAACTTCAAAAAACAGCAGTGGATCAAGTAGAAGTCTTATGTACACAAACAAATTAGATAAATTAAAGCTGATGAAAATTATTGTTAATGCTTGTTCTCAATTAAAGAACTGATCATTTTGATAATATTTTACTTCCTCTCTAATAGTCCTGACCAGACAGCGACCTCATATAAAAAGTAGGTTTAATGATTAATTCAAAATTTTAACTATTTTTACTTCAAGGCTTCTATTTACAATTGTTTGCACAGAATCTAAATAATTTCTATCATTTTTAATAATTCTCTACAATTTGACAATTCTTCATTTCCTTCCTTAAATCAGTTTTAATTTCATTTATATGTCTCTTTTTATCTCTCTGTTGAAGCCGTTTTCCTTTAATTATTAAACAGATTCACATGCTGAGGATGTATGTAATCCGGTAAAATGCACTTCTAATATGCCCAGATGGCGAGCGGAATCCGCAGAAGTTTGGACCTAGAGAGCTTCAAGCTACACATGACGCCAGCCACCAGCAGGATGAGCCTGCCGACCATCATCAAGCTTTACCCCCCCACAGCCAAACCGCTCCACATGCACGCCAACATGCCCCTGCGCTTCGGTAGGGACAGCAATGACGAAAGGGTCCCCAACTCCAGCCCCAACATGCCCCAGAGGTTCGGGAGGTCCTGGGAGCTGATCCAGATGTGTGGAGAGTGTCGTGAGGTCCGAGACTCCCCCAGCCCTGTGCTGCCTCAAAGATTCGGAAGAAACGTCCCTTATTGGAGCCTCCTGAGGACTCTGGCCAGTGATGACTTGGTAGACACTGGTTTGCACTGGTAGGGAACTACCTCAAACGTCCTTCTTCCCCTAACACTTTACACTAACTAGAGTGGTCAATTCTGTAAATATTGTTGTTTCTGTTTTTTCCTATTTCATTTTTTTATCCAACAGGACTCAAGATTTTGACTTTAAGACCAGCAGCTCTGAAGAAGATGTAGAGACAGAAGAGAAGGCGTTCAAAGGATAATCCAGATATAAACAGACCTCTCTTCTGTCAAAATAAGATTATTCATTTTTTAATAAATGTTTCAGATTATTAAAGCTTAGATCTACAGTATTTGGATTTAGATATTGTCTTCTTAAAGCAATGTACCTGTCAATATGTGAAACGTTCTTTACAAAGAATTAGGAAATTTGTACAAAAAGTTAAAAATAAAGCTTCAAGCACCAAGAACACAAAGTGTTATGTTATTCATCTAAACTGTTGTGATGACTTTGTATTCTCTCCCGGTGTCTGCATCTCTGTTCTGATCAAAAGAGAAAAGGTTACTTCTGAAGCCCTTGACAGTGACTGATTTTTCATAACCTTTTTTAAAAATGACAAAAAAAAACATTTGGATCCTCTAAAGAACAAATCTATTTAAACTATTTTGAACTATGTGTGGATCATTATATATGGATAGAAACTGAAAGTGCTAGCAAGCTGATGGCGAATCAGTAGTTGTTGCAACAGCTGAACACTAGAGGGATATTTTGATTAAATTCAATAGTAATTCAACTGTTAAGACACATATATAGATAAGTAAATATACACAATGATCTTTATCACACATAGATATAGTTTAACAGATAATATTCATAAACATTGTTTGTGTGCGTGTTCTTGTTTTTAATACATTGTGGGGCCCCTTTTCTGGAAAAATAGCACATTGTGAGGATCAAATCTCCTTGCCCGATCCCTGGACCCGACGAAGGGAATAGCTATTTTGGGGTCGGGAGTCACGTTTAGCACTAAGATGTGAATTGAGTTTAGGTTAGGGTAAGAGTTGGCTATGGACCTGTAACGGTTAGGTTTAAGGTAAGGCTCATGGTTAGGCTGTAGAAATGAATGGAAGTCAATTGTGAGGCCCAGCAAAGATAGTAAGACAAGGTTGTGTGTATGTGTGTGGACAAGAGGGGGCAAAATATAAGTGTGAAACTATCACATTCAGACAACACATTTAGTTCTGATAGGAGATTTGAGAGGAATCTATGAGGGAAGAAAATGTTTATATCTATTGACAGTTGGCTTTACAAAAATATTTTAAAGTGGTTTAACTTGGAAACAGTAAGGTGGCTTTAATCAGAAGAGACATGTTGGCAAAATAAAAGCTGTCTTTAAATATCAATAGACGGAGGGATAAGTATTTCCGGGACTGACTGAATGTGCTGTTAAAGGAAATGTGTATGATATTTTTTCCCCCTTACCTGGTAAGTAACACATACTGTATAACATATCAGTTTCTTTAAGGGAGCCTCTTTTGAAAATATCTGTTTCAAAAGACTATCTCCTTATAAAAAAAATTGCAGACAGACATATCAGGTAAAAACTGACACCCTCATTTTTCTCTTACGTACAACATCACATCTAAAGCCAAATTGCACTTAGACTTAGAACTGAAACACGACACAGATTCACTTCCATTTACCACAAGGATTATCAAACTTCTCCATTCTGTTCTTAGGTTTTCCATAAGCTTACATCAGAAATCTTGTCCTTGATAACAAATGAAACATTCAGAGTAGGTGGTACTCCCGTAAATCTACTTTTTGTGCTCAAATTTGGAGGAAAGGAGAGGCAATGACTCACTGTTCAGTAATAAGCAGTGGAACAAAACATTTCAAACATGTGAGTAACATACATGGCAAACACACCCCACCTGTCTTTCAGGATGGGTGGGACCTATATTTCACAGCTTATTCAACCAGACCTAACCACACCCCCATTATGTGAGACTTAACCTCATATGCTTTAAGATTCAAGTAGTTTTTTTTATCAAAGCATCTGGAACCTTCTGGTTAGCTGGAAATCAAAAGGGAAGAAGTGTGTGAACCAGAGAAGGAAAGACGACATCTAAGAGCAGTTTTAAACACATTCCAATCTGACGGTAGGATTCGCCTCTCGCTTGCCTTTTCTGTTGCTTGCTGTGTTGTTCACTTTTAATCAGAGGCTTTTGTTGTTGTTCGTTTAACATATGAACTGAGCTAAATTTAATCTATCCATAAACAAAGGAAGTTTAAGGTGCCAAAGAGTTTGTGTAACTGGTAGTTTTCCACTCGCCTTCAGACATTTCTTTGCCATAATGTGGCTGATTGTGTCTCCTGCTTTCCTTTCCTTTCCTCCCCTACCTAGCTGCCAGCCATGGGGGACATCCAGAAAGGGAAGAAGGTGTTTGTCCAGAAGTGCTCCCAGTGCCACAGTGTGGAGGAAGGAGGGCGCCATAAGGTGGGGCCAAATCTCTGGGGGCTGTTTGGACGGAAGACGGGGCAGGCACCAGGATACTCCTACACTCAGGCCAACATTGAAAAAGGTATGTATCCGAAATACAACAATAAAGCTGTAACCGGATAACAGACAACATGTTCATGACTACAACTGACAAAACCTGGATGTGTTCCTTTTTAACTTTCAATAATGGGATGTCATCTCTAGAGTTAATATAATATATAAACAAAATAAATCTGCTTTAATGTATGCCTGTTCCTGATTACGGTCGTGAAATAAAAAATCACCACCATCTATGGAAGTCACACTTCCTTCATACCTTTTATTTTTTTCGCAATAGTGATAAATCTTTTATTTTTTTTCCAAAGAAATAGTCCACAAACTATTATGCATTATTCACGCCTGCCCTCTCTGATAACTTCAAATTAAATCTCGTTAGACAAACCCACTTAATTCTTCCCAACTATAAAATAAAGTTGTTCAATCTTCGGTATAAATTTGGCTTTTCTTTAGGCGCTTTAGTTGATTGCCAGAGAATGCTGGTAAAGAAACAGCAATGAGAAACAGAAACCACAAGTTCAAAGACTACAACCTAAAGCTCAGGTTTAAAAATCTAAGAGTGTATCTCCAGCTGTTGTCTAGAAATTGAAAAGGGTACAAAGGAAAACATTACAAACTTACAGAGACATGATCGTCCATAGAACTGAAAGTTTTGGAGCATCGATCAAGAAGGCATCAAAAACAGGCCCATGGTAACTTTGGGGGAGCTGCTGAGCTCCACAAGTTTAGGAAGAACGATTTGCTAAAAAGATCAGCTAATACTGAAGCACTATACAAATATTTGTCTAATTTTTGCATCTAAAATGAGACATGCCTCACAAAGCTGGCAGAAATAATTGCAGATAAGAACATTTTTAGTTGCAATGTGGCAAAATGTGAAAATACTTAATAGGGTATAAATACTTCAGCAAGTAACAGATTCTACATTAGCTACACGTTTCAGATGTAGCTACACTTAAATTGATATACCTCTGCTAACCTATCCCCTTGGGGAGCAGTGGGTTGCCATTGTGCGGCGCTCGGGGAGCAGTGTGGGAGAGGGGCTTGAACTCAGAATCTCAGGATTCCAAGCTCTATGCCCTAACCAATAGGTCGCCACACCAATTCATGCTTTTTAATGAATTGTAGCTTTTTTGTCTCATAAGTCTACATGCAAACAAATCGACCATGCCGACATAAACAGCTTTCTCTTCCACAGCAATATCTTTTTTTTTTTTTACCCTGCCATTAAAAGGAGCATGTTTCCTGTACGTAAAGTGTGAACAGCATGTCTGAACAAGCAGACGGCAGTAGGAATTTTCCTCTCTGACTCTCTTGGCTATGTCCTAAAACCATAGAAATAAATCCATCTCACTGACAGACATACACGAGCAGTTCTTCCTGAAAACATCTATAACCCATGAGTGTTTTAATTGTTCTAATTTTGTGTTGTTGTTGTTTTTTTTGCTTGGTTTGTAGGTATCATATGGAGTGAGGACACTTTGAATGTCTACCTTGAAAACCCAAAGAAGTACATTCCAGGTACCAAGATGATCTTCGCTGGCATCCGAAAGAAAAAGGAAAGAGCAGATCTTATTGCCTACTTAAAGGATTCAACCTCTTGATGTACTGATTCTTTGGACTGTACACCAAAAACTACACTGACGGGGATTAGAACAAGCTTTTATGAGTTTGACATGTATTTTTCTTTTATTTTAGGGTTCCTTATTTTTGTTGAGGTCCGAAAAACTAACTAACTTTCGCATCCAAAATGCACTCCGTGCAGACTGCTGATTACTGCTTGGACTTTGTGGTATTACCCACTCTATGCACATAGAAATACTTTTGCTACCTTTTTGTTTATTTAATTGTGTATATATTTATTTTTTTCTGTCTGTGAACTCTAACTCATTTCATCTCACTAGACAAGCTTTTTTTCAGGATTGTTTTTATTTTTCGAGTTGTGCACACTTATTTTCCTTCTGTTGTTTGATTTATTTCAGCCCATTATTAAATGGGAACGCATTTATTCAACTCAACTCATTATCTTTTGAGAGCAAAAGGTTTGAATAACAATAAGCTCTGTGACTTTATTCAATTTCTTTAAGGGATGTTTTATAAAGTGTGATTTGCTAAATAAAATTTCTTTGTGTCGTATCTGGTATTCATTTTTAATATCTTCAGGGGATTTTGAATTAAATTAGCTTTAATTGTTCTGTGGAAAGGCCTTTTAAATTCCCTCAACAGTATAAAGAGGACAACACCTTCTAGTGGTTTCTTCCTAATTTACATAGATTTTCACACAAGGTTAAAAAGGTCAACCGTTCCTATTTCCCAAACATTATTTAGAATACAATTTAAAAAGTGTCACCTCCTTCCAGTCTTTACCATAACTGATCACTAGAGGGAGACAAAATATTAACAGGATAGTTTTAGGAGCATTGATTTTGGGGGGGGGGGGGGGATAAGTCTAACATGATCAAAATGCTAGGAGAGAGAAAATGAAAAAAAAAATGCATTTTAGAAAAAAGGAGAAGTATTCAGAGATTTCATAGCATGTTTTACATATACTTTTTTGTGTTGATAGTGATTGATCTGAAAATCATTAATGCACAACACATGTCATCTTAAGGCCCTTTACAGTGACAATTTGACCAGATCATACAGTCAGACTCATTGACTCTTCAGCATTCCCTCATACCAAGCATGCTTGTAGCAACACTGGAGAGGAAAACTCCCTTTTAAGATTTAAGTAACTTGCCTTTTTACATATCCAAAAGGAAAAGCATAACTAATGAACTGTAAGCTGAAATTACAGGTGTGATACATCATTTGAAAGCTAAAATCTTCTAGTTTTTGAAAATATAAACCGTGTGACTAAAACACAGCCTAGACTGCCTGAGTTCAAACGTGACACAAGTTTTTTTTTTTCTTTTGGAAAATAATAGGTCTTTTTTGAATAGCAGTGACAGAGACATGCTTTAGAATAGGCATGCATCATTATTTTACATTTATTCTGCATTATGTCAACAACAACTGCAGAGAATTTCAGTCTTCTAGGTATAACAGTTCTAGAGATATGGGACTTTTAAAGTCATACAGAAGTCTTATTTAAATGTAAAATCCTTCTGGCTTAAACATGTATATAAATGTATGTATGTATATAAATTATCAGAACATTTCTATTTCTAAAAGAATCCTGTCTTAAAATCTGTGGGGGGGGGGGGGGGGGGGGGGTTTCATTATCTTATGCAGACTACTTAGTTATACGTCAGCTTGTACACCTAAATTTGGCCAGTCATATATCAAAGATCATCTGTCAATCAAATTCTTTTAGTCATAGCAACTAGATTCATATGTCACAGCTAATATACACAACGGTTGAAATAAAAAATAAGAATAAGTTACTCTACCATTGAGTTATGTCCCAGTGTTCACGGGGATGGATGTCTGTGTCTTCGGCAGGCGTAGAGCTAACAGGCTTAGATGAAGACAACAGCTTTGCCAACTCTGAAAGTTCAACTAGACAAAAACAGTCCAAAGATTCTATAGCTACCTCAGATGCTGCCTGACCTTCCAGAGAACAAATGATATTCAGAGTGGTGCCAATTAACTTATTTTTAATAGAATAAATCTTTTTGTAAAGAATCCCAATAAATCATATGGCTTGTGGGATGGACGGTTCAACAGAGCTATGGCTCTGGGTGAGTTGGGCAACTGTATTGAAAAGATATCTAGGATCATTCTTATTCTCCTTATTAATGAGGAGAAATATGCTGTTCTTGCTTTATGAAGGGTCATGTTATACAAAAGTAAACTGTTTTTGCAGACTAGATAGGATTCCTTTAGGAATGTAGAGGGCCATTTTCTCTCCAATTTCCTAGCGTTTTGCTTCAAAGTGTGCAGCTATTAAACCAGTGAGTCAGCTTTCTTTTTTTACAGTTTTTCTCCACACATAAATGCTTTCTCTTTTGCTGATAGTCTAAGGCTTTGTTTCTGAATTGCTTTTAGATATGTTGGATGTCAAAATTTTCAAAAACTGCTGACTCACCATGATGCTAATTTTTCTTTCTACATCTGATGGTCTTCAAAGAACATGACTCAAATTGCCCGCTTGTGGATATTTCAGAAATTAGTCTACAGGTTTAACTGCTAATTGAGAATCATGTTTACCCTTCTCTTACAGTATTTGTTGTCTGCATTTCACTTTTTTTTTTACTCACTTATAGTATTCATCATATGTTTATTTATTTTGCATGAATAGAACGTGTTAGCCTTTCCTAAGCTGAATTGTGGATCTATTTTATCATGTAGGGTTGAGTTTTTCTAGACTAGATCTTTGTGTGGGGATGATTTGTCTTATTTATGGACTTGCTCTTCCCTTTCAGTTTAGGAAACAAAGCTTAACCAAACCTGCTGTCTAGACAGACGTTTTTTCAGAAGTAACTGAGATTATAAAAGAAAACAGGAAGAGGTCACAGAACTATATTTAAGTGGTTTTTTTTGTTTGTTTTTTTTTTGTATTATCCACTGTTAAACCTCCTTTTTACATCATACTCTTGAATTTGGTCTTTAATGGGAATATGTTAAAAATATTTAATTTAACCACATCTTTTTTTGTTGAAGAGAATTGTTTCCATAGCATTGTTGTTTTGTATTTCCACATACAGAACCATCCTTCTTATTCAAAATGCATGAGAAGAATTCAGCTTCGTTCTTCTTAGTGATGAAGTGAAAATGCTTGAAATTGACAATCAGTTCAAATACAGTTATTTTGAGGATTATGTGCACATGTAAACAAAGAAATGCTTTTGTCATAGTCAGAGAAGAAAGTAAGGTCTGCATTTTTCCTGATAGGTACGCAATGACTATGAGAGCCAAACTGAGAATGAAATCCAGGCAATCGCATTATAAGATTTCATGTGTTGTTGGAATACATTTGTTAATTAACCAAAATTCTACTCAAAAATTTGTAATTTAATTTGCTTTATTTGCTGGCATTTTAATCCAGTTCCATCATGATGAACACTTTTAGCGCAGTGATTTTTGGGACCATCACTGGGACCAACACTTGCAACATCTTCCACAGATTGTTTATAGGGTCCACTACAGGACCTTGAAATTTTTTGTTTTTTATGGAGCACCTTCTTCATTGCCAAAACTGTTTGAAATCATTGTCAGGCTGGAACACCAAGCCATCTTCAGTGCCTTGATGAAAGGTTTTGGTTTAAAATACCAATCAATGGTTTTGAATATCTTCCATTTTCTTCCAGTTTTTCCCACAGTGTATTTATTCACACCAACCTGCTTGCGTATTGTAGATTCACCCTTTCAAACCTCGTGCAGCTCTTTGGTCTTAGCTGTGGTTAGGTGCTGTTAAAACAGGTAATGAGTGGAAGACAGAGAAACTCTTTAAGGATATATAAAAACCAGACATCTTGTTTATTTGTGGTTGAACAAATGCTTATTTTCCTTAATAATTTACAAATAGGTTCTTTAAAAATCCTACAATATGATTTCCTTGACTTATTTTCTCATGTTGTCTTTCACTGTTAAAGTCAGTGTTGGGCACGTTACTTTGAAAAAGTAATTAGTTATAGTTACTAGTTACTTCTCCCAAAAAGTAACTGAGTTACTAACTGAGTTACTCCACAATAAAAGTAACTAGTTACTAGTAAAAGTAACTATTGCGTTACTTTTGCGTTTCTCGCCCCCGTAAACCTCACCACCCAGCCCCCACCTTCTCGCCGTGTGTTTCCAAAGCCAGCTGAATAGAGAGGACGACAAAGACAAGAACCTGCAGAGAGTTTAGCAGTTATTGCAACTCAACGTAAATGACATCAGGGGGAACGCGATGTGAAGTTTTATAACAGGACATTCAGATCTGGTGAGTATATGAAATTAATAACTGGGGATGTCTAATTCTGAAATCCTGTGTGTTTGGGTTGTTATAGATACTGCAACATCTATCTATCTATCTATCTATCTATCTATCTATCTATCTATCTATCTATCTATCTATCTATCTATCTATCTATCTATCTATCTATCTATCTATCTAGATGTATACTCTGTGTGTGACATAAAATATGGATCTCCATCCCTGCCACAAAGGCCATCAAATAATGTTTAAAATAAAAAATACAGTAGGTTGAGAAGGCAGAGCATCCATCCATCCATCCATCCATCCATCCATCCATCCATCCATCCATCCATCCATCCATCCATCCATCCATCCATCCAGATTTCTCCCTTTCTCCATATAGGCTATCATTTCTGGCTGTTGTCAGGTTCATTTGATCGTTCACGCTCTCCATACTTCTCCTGTGGCGCGAGCACAGAGCGACTGTTGCGCGCCTTTAGCGAGCATGCGCGTTTCCTGTCGCTTGCGCGGTGACTCGTGCCGCCTGCGCTGTGTGGAGATGCAGAGGAAACCGTTATGTGATGGGGAAACGCAGCTCTACGTAACACCGGTATTTCCATGTGGAAAACGCTGTTTTGCTGCTGGAGTCATCCTCACTCTCCATCTCTCTGTGTGTGCTGTACGTTAACACCCGCCAGCAGAAACACCCACCTATTCAACTGACAGACGGAATCTCATCCTCCCCTCTCTCATGACAAGGCGCGCACCTCTGGATGACCTAAAATAAATCTTTAATATCTCTTAAACAAAAGTAGCACAAACAATATTTTTTTCTGCACAAATCTGCACTAACGTTGCACTAACCATTCAGTCTATTTGCAGAGTTTTTTGACGTGGGTGGGGTGTCAGCTTCACGCAGCTGCGCACGAGTCCTATCATGAAAAAAGGTTCATTGCGCGACCTAAGTAACGCGCAGTAACGGGGTGCCTGCAATGGTAACTGCGTTATAGTTACAGTCAAAGTAATTAGTTAGATTACTCGTTACTAAAACAAGATAACGGCGTTAGTAACGCCGTTACTTTCAACGCCGTTAGTCCCATCACTGGTTAAAGTGTACCTCATGACTTTGAAATATATAAATATTTTTATGTAATTTTAGAAATAATATATTTATGAACTTCCAGTTCCTTTAAATGACCTCATATAGACATTTCATAAGGGCTTTTCTAATCTGTTCACTTATTTCCTCAATTTTTCTCTAAAACAGATGATTTCTTTCTCTAAAATACCCAGCAGAGGGCGCCCTTGTAGCAATAAAACACATTTAATCCGGCAGCAAATCGCGCCAGGCCAGTGCGCAGGATGTCAGATCCATCCCAGCGGATTTAAAGTCGATCCGGATGATCGGCAGGATCGAGTGGACCTGTGGGACCGAGCTGCCAGTTGCTCTGTGGTTTCCACTGGGTGATCACTGGAGGAGGGGGGGCAAAGCATAAATAAAAAAAAATCGGAATTTAAGAATTGTGTTATTGACCAGAAAGGGAAGGAGGAAGAGGTCTGCAAGGAGGACCCAGTTGATCAATCTTCCAGATTACGCACGGTGAATGTTGGCCGGTGTCTGGGTCTGCAAAGGAGCGACACAATCAGATACAATCAGAAGGTAGGAGAGAAGCTTTACTCATTCCAATTCATTCCCTGGATGTGTTCCGTTTATACAGAGTATGATCATTTAGATTAACATCAATTGATGGTCTTCCACGCAAATCCCATCCCTCAATAACCTGCACAGATCCACTAGGATGAAATAGGAGCGCACTTTGACACTGTGTGAATGAACCCGTGGCTAAATTACTACAGTTGACATGCCTTGTGTGTGTTACTATAAGAGTATGTGAGTGAGACCCCCCCACCCCATCCCCAGTCTAATTCTGGCACAGTGGGAGTGTGTGCGCGGCTGGAATTACAGCGGTTGCTGCATCTGCTGCAGAGAGGGGCTTCAACAGGTTTATAGAGCAGAGACAGCCTATAGAGGATGAGGGGGTTAGTGGGGGATCTGAGGCGATGAGAGCCTCTGAGGGGAGGAATAGAAAAAGTGACAGCTGCCAGGGGACTGCAGATTTAGCGTGTTGTGTTGTGCTCCTTTCAGGAACAGTAACCAAGCAGCATGGAGCTGATGAAAATTGTGTTATCCCTTCCCATTCTTCTCTCTCCTGCATGGACCATATCCCGTCACTCCTACCTGGACAGCATCCTCCCCCCTCATCCAGGTAAGGTATCAGCAGCAGCAATGTACTGTAAGCTTAAAGAATTTCACATGAGTGTTTCTATTCAGCAAAGCAGAGGAGCCTCCTCCCAGCCTTCAGGTTCTTGGATGAGGCATTGAGGTTTGATCCCTGTTGTCTTATGTCACCTCCTCCACCTCCGCTATTTCCTCCTCCTCCTCGGCTTTGGAAGAGAGGCACACCTGTAAGTTTCCATGCAGCAAGCGGCCTGTACTTGCACTTCCACCGTGGGCCATTTACTGAAAACTTTTCTGTTTTCTTCCTCTGTTCATGTGAAGGGTGAAATGGATGAAACGCTAAGCTTATTGCAATCAAATGTTTTTGGAGGCGAAGTGTTGGATAAGAAACAGCCCGTCACTCCTACATGTTCACCAGGGCCTCCTGGTCCTCCAGGACCACAAGGTCATCAGGTAAGGAATTACTTCATATTACATGTATTCATATCTGTAGAACTCATAGCTGTAAAGAGAATGCAGTCCCATAGCATGATGCTTCCACCACCATGTCTTATCACTATGGTGATACATTCAGCACGATGTGCAGTGTTGGTTTGTCACCACACATGTTGGCCAACATCCATTTGGGTCCCAGGTGACCCAAACACTTTGATCCACACATGCATTTTCAGTGGTTTACCATAATTTTAACCCTAATCTTTCAGGTGTCAGAATAGCGACTGGAGTCTATTTAGGGGTTTTATTGGAGGGGAAGCTTTTCTTCAGCAACTAACCAATACTTGTGGTTCTGGTCAGGAAAAATAATTTTAAAAAAGGGTAAAAGGGTGTAAATAGTTTTGCAAAGCTATGTATATTAGCCTTTTAGTCTGATTAAATCATGTTCCGTTGGATGGCTGCAGACATTTTAGGCAGTTGCTGGGAATATATTGTTAAGCAGGTAAAGACAGAAAGAAATTCAGATGACCTTGTTAGCATTGATCTTGCTGCAAATGCATTGCGTTCAATACAGGTCATAGCAGCAGGATAAAAATGCTTGTGTCATTTTTCAGGGTGAAATTGGATTGCCGGGTTTAAGGGGGCCAAAAGGGAGAAAGGTGTGTGCTTTTTGAGAACTAATGTCCCTAATTCATTTATCTGCTAAGGGAATTTGTCCTTGCGTTCACAAGTGCTCTAACATTCATCTGTTCTCCTTCCATTTTTTTTTTTTTTTCTAGGGAGACATTGGACGTCCAGGGCAAAGGGTGGGCAGCTTCTCTCCTACATATGTCCTATCTCCAGTGTTCCTCTATACCCCTCTATACCTGTAATGTCTCTTCCAAGTTTTCTTTTCTCTTTGATCTGAGTTTTTATCAATACTCTCTGAATTCTCCTTTTGTTACTAAATGGGTCATGCAACATTAGTCTCAGTGGTAAAGCTTGAATTCCCATTATCCTAGTGCTGCTCGTTTGCTCTTTCTCCTCAGCTTTCCTTGGCCTCGTCCCATTCGCCTTCAGGACTAAACCCAAGTCTTGCTGATGAAGCCCCTCCATCAGGGCTCTGCTTGTGCATTTTAATCTCCCTGAGTGCTTTTGCTCCTCATGATAAATCACACAGTGCCTCTGGATGCTGCAGCTTTAATCACAGACTGCTGAATAAAAGCATGGCTGCAGCTCTGGAATGTAGTTCAGGTGTAAAGATGATATGTGGATGCTTCAGAGGCCTGTTTTAGTGTTTGCCATATGATGCTGCCACAGTGTGTTACAGTATGCTGGATGTAGGCATTTTGGATGTAATACTGAAAGTAGTGATGTGGAAAAAAATAAGGGGTATGAATACCTATATGAGGAAATGTAGTTTTTATCTTTATTGATTCCCAGGAAAGTATCATTTACATAGACATAGGCCTCTACTTCACACGGTTAACTCCAACATTTAAAATAATATGAACAAGCAGTGATTTCACTTCCCTGAGAAGGATTATAATGAAGAAATAAAGAAATAAAAAGAGAACAAGAACAAAAAACTAAAAAGGAAACAACAATGGAAAAAATTTAATTAATTCAATTTAACATATTAAGAGAGTGGATTGTTGAGATTTAATTAAGTTTGGTCTCTAAAATTGAAATCAGATCTTTTAGGTTTTACATAGTCTACCCAAATCTGCCACCACTGATATAATTTTTCAGTGTCGTGATTAAAAGAGGCTGTTATTTTTATTTTATTTTATATATGTTGAATGTTATGAAGATCCAGTCATCTAAAGTTAGTTTGTCCTGTGATAACCATTTTTTTGTAATGTTTTTTTACTTGCTGTTAATAAAATAGTCATTAAATATTTATTTCTTTTAGAGGCTTCTTGAGGAATTATAGCAAAATACATAAGCTTGATCTCCAAAGGAACATTCTGTTTGAAAATATCTTTTAAGGCATTATTTATCACTTTCCAGTAATCTTTTATAATTGGGCAGTTCCAGAAGACATGATAATGGTTTACGCTTTGATTTCTACATCTCCTCCAACATGTGGGGGGATTTCTATTGTTGTGGCATTTTTGAGCAGATGTGATATAAAATCTTACCAGATCCAAATTCTTGCCATTGTAGATGGTATCTCCACATTATTGCCCATTCCTCCTCTGTTATTGTCAAATTGCCGTCTCTTTCCCATCTTGCTTTGATATGTAGGTTTGAATCATTTTTTAGATCAATTAGGTTTTTATAGATAAGTGAAACAATTTTGCCCTTAATTTTTTATTTATAGGCATTAATAAAAAAAATCATTAGGTTTATATTTTTGTCAGTAATTGACCTAATTTGTAAATGAACCAAATTTCTTATTTGTAAATATCGGTAAAAATCCTATTTGAGTATTTTCTCTTGAGTGTTTCAAAATCACTTCAGATTTTGTTGTCCATAATTGTGCACACAGCTGTGACTCCTTTGGATGTCCAGTGCTTAAACCTGGTGTCCAGTTTATTTGGTGGGAAGTCTGGGTGGTATGCAATCCATTTTATGATTGCAAGGTCATTCTCTGTTATATGTTTTTTTTTTTCATAAAAAGTTTGGGTAAGAGGATCCAGAAAATGTACTTGTTTTTTTTTATGGCACCAACATGTGTTTTTCTGCAGGGCCGCCCTGGCGCTCCAGGTTCTCCAGGGAAACCAGGACTTCCAGGATTTCCTGGTCCCCAAGGGCCCAAAGTAAGTGTCATGACCTCTCCTCCAGGTAGTATACCCCAAAATCTTTGCCATACATAGTTTAATTTTGAGAGTCATTGATTATTATTTCTTATAAGGGAGAAAAGGGAGAGCCAGGACTCATGGGTTTACCAGGGCTGCGAGGTCCACCAGGAACAAAGGTAGCTGTGATCTTTTCATCAATGAAACAGTCAAATACTAAATGTAGACCATAACTTTCCTGCTTTTCCTTTCAGGGTTTACCTGGTTACAAAGGTGACAAGGTAATGTTTTTCTGCCAAACTGTATTTGTTTTCATAAGAAGTTGAGCTGTGTAAAGAAAGGATAATATCTCACCACACAAGGGATTCCTAGAGCTATCAAACCTACTTATTTGCCTTTATATACTAAAATAGAATCAGTGTTATTTTCTAAAACCAGTAATTTTCGTATGAGTCTCAAACTAATATTTGTTTGGAGGAATTGTTTCTCTATGTCAATCAACCCAACTGCTTACTTCATAGAAAGGAATGTTTTTAATCTCAAAATAACATCATTTACTTTTCCGTTAAAAGATGCTTAATGACATCAGAACTAGAAATTTTAAAAGTCAAAGAATTTGAAATCTCACTCATGGATTTCAGTGATTAATTACGTATATTTTTGTGTAATTCTTTTAACAAGGGAGACCGTGGGGACCGTGGCCCAGTGGGACCAAAAGGAGATAAGGTTTGTTTCTTTAAATAGCAGTTTCTGAAATCATGTAGAAAGTTATTTCCAATTCAAAGTTGGGTTTGAATGTGTGATTCACAATGGTTTATTGAAAATGCTCTTATAAAATGTGTTTTGTTTTGATTACAAAATTTTATTTTAATGTATTTTTTTTTCTGCTCGCCTTTGAATCATTTTCCTTTTTTCAGGGTTCAATTGGTTTGCCAGGGATGCTTGGACAGAAGGTAAAGGACAAACGCTTAAAAAGATTATAGCTACATTTCAATGCTGTTTCAGGGTTCCTATACAGTCTAAAAAGTTGGAATGTGATTCCAGTATTCTGCAGGTCTGCATAAGAATAGAAAGAGTGGAAAAATATTCATATCCAGTTGTCCAAATGATGTTTCCCTCCACAGTTTCTGTCCTTTTATTTTATTTGAGGACTTATTTCTTTCCGTGGTTTTGTAATTCCCTTTTTTTTTACCAGGGATTAGACATCAATATCTGTCAAATTATTAGTAAACCTCTGTATTTTATAAATATAAGCTTTTTAAATTCAAAATGTCATCAATAGCGTTGAGTTCGTGGTTTTACACAGTAGCCCAACAAAGGCTTGTTTTTGTTTTGAAAACATGCAAACTGGAACAGGGGTCCACCCATTTGGGATGGGGGTTGTTTTGCTTCTTTTTGTTAGACTGCAATACCTCATACCCATCTAAGTGTCTGTCTTTTTCTATGAAAAATAAGCAGAAATCTGACAGCTTTTCCCTTCTCTTAGGGTGAGGTGGGCCCAAAGGGAGAGCCTGGTGTTTCAGGGAAGAGAGGACCAGCTGGAAGACCAGGGAAAAGAGGCAAACAGGTAAACAGAAGTTTTAGTGTTTGTGTGGAGCGGACATTGATTGGACTTAAAAGAACAATAAAAATAAATCTATACGAAAATTATTCTGTGTGCGTTTTTCTGTTGCATTTTTGCAGGGTATGAAGGGCCATTCAGGAGCCCCTGGAGTCATGGGGCCCCCAGGTCCTCAAGGTCCCAATGGTCTCCCTGGGCCCCCTGGACCTCCAGCCTCAGGTGTTGAAACCAGTTCATGCACAGACCTTTGTTTCCACGTCTGCCGTAACATATTATATCCCCTGTGTGCTTAATCCATCCTCATCTCTTCCCAGGTCTCTATCTGGTGGGGGAAAAAGGGGAGAAGGGCCTGCCAGGACCACCAGGTCGCTGCAACTGTGATTCCGCACTCGGAACAAATAATGCCCCCTTCGGCAACTACTACACACAGCGACGTACCGGCAATAAACTCACTGCAGTAAGATTTTAGATGCTGAAGATGCAAACTGAACTTACCTGTATCCCTTGTATGCTCACAACCTTTCTGAGAGTCCTCTGTGCTCTTTATGTAGATATTTGTGGTGAACAATGAAGAGGAGATGGGCCGCCTTCATGTAGAAAATGCAATTGTGTTAAGAAAAGATAAGAGGATGCTATATTTTAAGGATAAAGACGGCTGGAGTCCAATACAGGTAATTACATTCAATGTATATCAACAATAGTGTATTGCAAAAAAAAAAAAAAGGAAAAAAAGAAATATTATTAGAATTTTATGGGATAGTATAAAATATTCTCATTGGAAGTAAAGGGTAGAATCTGATCTATTCTATTCTAATTCCCTTGACTATCATCCTAATAGAAGGTTAACTTTTTGACCCATAATCAACTCCTCTGCAGCTTCCAACAGGTTTTATTACATTGCCACACTACAGGTGCTGGTCATAAAATTAGAATATCATGAAAAAGTAGATTGATTTCAGTAATTCCATTTAAAAAGTGAAACTTGTATATTATATTCATACATTACATACAAACTCATATATTTCAGATGTTTATTTTGTTTAATTTTGATGATTACAAATGACAACAAATGAAAATCTCAAATTCATCATATCAGAAAATTAGAATATTGTGAAAAGGTTCAAAATTGATGGCCCCTGGTGTCACACTCTAATCAGCTAATTAACTCAAACCACCTGCAAAAGCCTTTAAATGGTCTTTCAGTCTAGTTCTATAGGCTACACAATCATGGGGAAGACTGCTGACTTGACAGTTGTCCAAAAGACGACCATCGACACCTTGCACAAGGAGGGCAAGACACAAAAGGTCATCGCTAAAGAGGCTGGCTGTTCACAGAGCTCAGTGTCCAAGCACATTAATAGAGAGGCGAAGGGAAGGAAAAGATGTGGTCGAAAAAAGTGTACAAGCAAGAGAGATAACCGCACCCTGGAGAGGATTGTGAAACAAAACCCATTCAAAAATGTGGGGGAGATTCACAAAGAGTGGACTGCAGCTGGAGTGAGTGCTTCAAGAACCACCACACACAGACGTATGAAAGACATGGGTTTCTGCTGTCGCATTCCTTGTGTCAAGCCACTCTTGAACCACAGACAGCGTCAGAAGCGTCTTGCCTGGGCTAAAGAGAAACAGGACTGGACTGCTGGTGAGTGGTCCAAAGTCATGTTCTCTGATGAAAGTAAATTTTGCATTTCCTTTGGAAATCAAGGTCCCAGAGTCTGGAGGAAAAGAAGAGAGGCACTTCATCCACGTTGCTTGAAGTCCAGTGTAAAGTTTCCACAGTCAGTGATGGTTTGGGGTGCCATGTCATCTGCTGGTGTTGGTCCATTGTGTTTTCTGAGGTCCAGGGTCAACGCAGCCACATACCAGGAAGTTTTAGAGCACTTCATGCTTCCTGCAGCTGACCAACTTTTTGGAGATGCAGATTTCATTTTCCAACAGGACTTGGCACCTGCACACAGTGCCAAAGCTACCAGTACCTGGTTGAAGGACCATGGTATCCCTGTTCTTAATTGGCCAGCAAACTCTCCTGACCTTAACCCCATAGAAAATCTATGGGGTATTGTGAAGAAGAAGATGCAATACACCAGACCCAACAATTCAGAAGAGCTAAAAGCCACTATTAGAGCAACCTGGGCTATCATAACACCTGAGCAGTGCCACAGACTGATCGACTCCATGCCACGCCGCATTGCTGCAGTAATACAGGCCAAAGGAGGCCCAACTAAATACTGAGTGCTGTACATGCTCATACTTTTCATGTTCATACTTTTCAGTTGGCCAACATTTCTATAAATCCTTTGTTTTTATTGGTCTTCAGTAATATTCTAATTTTCTGATATGATGAATTTGAGATTTTCATTTGTTGTCATTTGTAATCATCAAAATTAAACAAAATAAACATCTGAAATATATGAGTTTGTATGTAATGTATGAATATAATATACAAGTTTCACTTTTTAAATGGAATTACTGAAATCAATCTACTTTTTCATGATATTCTAATTTTATGACCAGCACCTGTATGTTTGTCTCCAACTATCTTCCCACCAACTCTGACCAGTTCACCTGAGCCTGCAGAGGAAAAATGTCCCACAGCAAGATGCTGCAAACACCATGTTTTAGCATAGGGATTAGGTTTTTAGGCTAATGTCTAGTGATGTTGTAAGATGAGCCAAGGCTTTGAAGCATGTGTCAGGTAGAGTAGGGGCGTTTTGAGGCTTGCTTCATTCAGGAACCAAAATCTATGACGTCTGAAACTTCGCTAATGCGGTACCACTCGACTGCTTTGGGAAGTGGTTCAGCTTGCCCACGAACTTCGACATGCATCTAAACAGCCTCAGTGTTCAGTCAAGATGTGGGACTTTGTAGGAGAGTTGTGGTCAATTTGATAGAGTTTGGATATAATCTAAGAATAGATTGGCTGGAAAAATAACCACTCCAGTTAGTTAAACAATTTTCGTTAGATTAAACAATATAATCACCAGAATCTGACCAAGCTACTGGTTTCAGTTGTATGATTAGTATTATTGCTTTCAGAGGAAGAGTCATTATTACAAATGGCATCTGCTGTAAGTCATGTTGGTTCAAGACCTGGATTAGTTTCTGAAAGTTGCTACGCTTGACCAGTATTTTGGCCAATGTGACCAATTTGTATTGGTTTGCCCTTTTACCAATATAGATTGGGTTAAAAAAATAAATACAAAATTAGATTAGTTGGTTTCAACAAAAGATTGGTTGGACACATAACTTCCAACCAGATTAAAACCAAAAACTTTAGAAAAACTATTATTTTTTAATCAAAATGACTAACACCTTTCATTTTGCCCATCACTGCCCAATATGCACAAGCACTTTCACTGTCTACCTGAGCTTATGTCACAAAAAGGACAGAAAACAGTGCACCTTGAAAGATTTTTCTGATTTTACACACAAAACACCTACAAAATATTTTATTTTACAGAACAATTAGGAACAATTTCAAAGGAATTTAAATGGGGAAAAAACAAGAAAAACAATTGCAAAAGAAAAATCACAAATTATAATACCAACTGTAGTCATGATTTCCACCAATAGGTGGCGACATGTTCACATTACGTAAGCTCCTTGAACTGTCGGGATTGTTGAAGCCCAAATGGTTCAATGCTTCATGAGGCTTCATCTCACCATCACCTTAGTTTAGTTTTGTCTTCAATTTAATGTTTTGTTTCAATAACTCAGTGCAATATTTGATAACTCAATATTTATGTATTGATGTTACTTCTTCAATAACTCATTGCAATATATATATATATATATATATATATATATATATATATATATATATATATATATATATATATATATATATATATATATATATATATATATATATGCTTTACACTGTATATAGCTAGCTCTTACTCATAGAAAGCATATTTAGGAATAAGGTCTTAGCTCTGTTATGCTGGTAGCCAAGTAATCAACATTTTGTTGTCAAGATTCACCTTGTGTTTTTTTTATGCAATGACAATAAAGGAAGTCTAAGTCTCTAAGTAAAGGGAGCAAAATACAAATTCATCACATCTTTATTTGTGAAAATGTCTGAAACCAACATTTATTTTTCCTTCTACTTCAAAAAAATGTAATACTGTTTTCTATTGGTCTTGCACCTAATATAAAAAAAAATACATAACATGTTGTGGATGCAACTTTCTAAAAGTTGTAAAACTATGAGGAGTTGTATATTTTAAAAAATACTATACATTCAATTATGTGTAAAAAAATATATATATATTTTCAGCCATTTCAGCAATTCCAGTCTACCGAGACCATCCCAGAGAGAGTTGGTGTATGTGGGGATGGGAAGGTTCAGGTCCAGCATGGGGAGGAGTGCGATGATGGGAACCAGATTGTCACTGACGCTTGTCTCAGTGAGTTAAATACTTCAGCTTCTTTCTTTTTCACAAATCTATTTATTTCTATTTTTTTATGACTACAATGCAAAATAAATCTCTTACTATAGAGCAGCCTAGGCTTTGCTGTTGATAGATAAGAAACATGTATCAAAGCAAAACCACAGCATGTCATTGGATGCTGAGCTCATGTGGCACAGTCTACTCTCTAGAAGATCTCCTTTTATCTTTTATTAATCCCTGACCCTTCTATTTTCCTGCCAACCCCTCACTATGCTTCTGCTTCTATCCAATTAAATTAGAAGGAAAATGCTGTGCTGGCATCACTGAACGCTGGTTAGTGTGCCAAATAAATGAGTAACATCCTCTTTCTCTCACTCTGTTGCTTTCTCACACACCCCTGCAGACTGTAAGTGGGCTTACTGTGGCGATGGATACCGACATGAGGGAATAGAAGAGTGTGATGGAAAGGATTTTGGTTATCAGACCTGCAAATCCTATCTTCCTGGGTATGTTAACTGATTATTTAGCAACACGCCAATGTGTGTGTTTTTATATGTGGTTTATATGTGGTCATTTATCAGTTAATCTTTTTTTTATGGGTATCTATTTTTTGTATTTTGATTTTCCCATTCTACAATCACGAATTGAAGGGAAAAAAGACACCTATACTGTAGGGATCTTTTTTTTTTTTTTTTTTTGGTTTAGTTTGTAAGGACATAGAGGCTATTTAAAGTTAGTGGCATTATGAATAGAGCTAGATAAGGAGCAGGTTGAGAAATAATTATAATAAAACATCTAATCAGCTAAGCTTGTATATATTTACAGTCAGAGCAATAATTTAAGTTTAAAGCAGCTGGAACTTTGACAAAAAAGGCTGGACAGAGACCAAAAAGTAATATGAGGATAGAAGTAAAAATATCTTTATACATCACCAATAGAGAAGTGCGAGATAATGATAATTAATTCGAATAAAAAACTACCTAAAACATATAACTAAGCTAAAATGCAAAAGTGGAAAAATGTGTTTTATATATTGAGCAGAACTTTGTGTTTTGTAAGCTATTATCTCCCTGCTTTACATGTGTGTTGCTTTAAACAGGAAATTTGATTTGCAACCCTTTTCTGTGCTTCTGCAGGTCCTTTGGGCAGCTTCAGTGCACTGAGTCGTGCTTCATTGATTCTACTGGCTGCAAGTACTTCACCTGAATACAGAAGGCCTCTCAGAAAGCAAAAAAATTGTTATTCAGATTTTATCTGAAGTATCAAAACTTTGAAAAAAAGGGGTGCACTGAAAGACTGCACTGAAGCAAAGCTGTTGTGTCTGCTCTAAGCCATGAGACGTCATGGAAGTTAGTGTTTTTGTTTTTTTACATCCCCTGCAGTTCCCTCTCCTGTCCCACTGAGGTTTAGTCCTGAACGTGCCTCAGAGAACAGCTCCCTTGGCTGCAGCACTGTTAGAGAAACATCAGAAAAGGCGGAAACCTTTGAACGATGCAATGACTGGATCATGTTAACTACACTGTTTAAGACTTGCAGACTGTTAATGCAGAAATAAGCTATGTGCTCCTTCATACAACACTTTTTAAAAAAAATGTTGCAATGTATTTAAATTATGAAAACCCAAGGCATCTGATGAGGGACCTTACTCCTGTGCAATGTATGACAAAATATGTATTTATGATGCGCAATGTTGGTTTTGCATGCAGATATATATATAAGTGCACAATAGACTGCTTTATCTGTTAAATGCTGTTACCAAAAAATATCCCTCTAGCAGAGAAGTTGCAAATAATCCGACAGAAAACATGAATGTCTTACTGCAAAAAAATGCAAAGAACATGTAGTTATTGAAGCAGCATGAAGTATGAATGCATAAGTGTATATTTAATAAAGTAATATCAGTATAAAGTTGGTCTTCATGTGAAAATCAGATGAAGGGATGTGGGTGAGGCTTGTGCAGGAAAGCAGCCAATCAAGGAAAAGAGTCTTGCAGCTTGTATACTAAATTATCTTTTAAATATCCATGAAACCCTTGTTATCCATGAAAGAGTTTCTTGTAAATTAGTTTCTCTTACCTGGGTCCTATTTCACAAAAGTTGAATAAAAATATTCCAGGATAAGAGATAAAGCAGAACTCGACCTCTAGCCTGATCAGTGCATCCTGGCTCCATTCGTTCCAAAGGCCAAGCCAAGCTCCATACGTGCAGCTGCCTCAAGCCAGGTGTGAGTAATCAAGCCAAGGGTCTGCAGTTTTCTTGAGGTGGATCACAGATTAATTAATTCAATAAACAAAAGCAGATCAACTAAACAGCCTAAATTCCCTAATCACTTCTCTTGACTGAGAATTTCATTATTAAAGGTGTAACTGCTTCTCAAAATAACAAATAACCTAAAAATGAACAATGGAAACCAATACGGTAACGCATGTATTTCCCATGGTTTTTAGATTTATATTACATTTCTGTCTGAGCATTCAGTTCCTCTATTGTACAGTGTGTCAGACGTCCATGCAGTGTACTGCAGACTGAATAATTCATAGAAATAACTGAATGTGAAAAACTTTATTAAATAGTAGAAATTACTTTTATTTCCTGTTTACAACATTTACGTTTTTTGCAATAATTGTAGCTTACTAATAACATTAGGGAATCCTAAATAATAATAAAAAATCTACCTTTTCCAAACTAGTGTCCATTTGTCTTTTTAATGCCAAATGCACAGTTCTGATGGTGCAGCAAATCCTGTCTTTGCTAAGATTGACAGCATTTTCTATTGCATAGAGGAACATACCATGAGCAGAATAATTAAGCCCAAACAGATCATCTGTGTAACCATAAAGGTATGGCTGAAACCCAGCAGTCTGCACAGGTAGATGATGTCATCCTCATAAAAGTGGTAATGCTCAGAAATAATTCAAAAATGGCAGTTTCTTCAAAACAAAATAGTCTACTGAATGCATTAGGGATAAACTTAAACCAGCAGCAGTCTACAAAAACACATCGAACAGTAAAAATATCCACATATAAAATTAGAAATTTAATAATGATGAAAGCTACCATTACAATGTTAAATGATTAAAGTACATGACTGTATCCAACATGTAGATAAAGTAACATAATACCTGACAAAACTCACCACTGACTGAGTCGATACGATGGATTTAGTAAACCTGGTTAGCTGAACAGAATAAATCACCCTGGTAACTTATGCTACTGCTTTCATGTTACCAAGTTTAGTCTCAACTCGACCGGGATACCTGGAAAATCCTGACTTAATCCCTTATCTTGGTTTATAAAATGGGCCCCTGGTTTGTGATCTGTTAACATACAGTACCACATACTAGGGTAACACAACCCAACATGTTGAATGTCCCTGAGCATACTAAATTTTATTTTTACACTCACAGCTGGTTTATCTCACAAGATTATCTATAGAGCCATCACAATAATTAAGGCTTCCTTAAGTCTGTCAGGAGTTGATCAAGTCCAGCATCGGCAAAATGATCTTGCCGTGAGAACCAAGCATTAAGAAAAATGTTAAAAGTTTATCAATTAGACTTAAAGACTTAGACTCAACTTTATTTATCCCTTGGGATTACTCCTTCGGGGGAATTATGGTTCCTGGAGCTTATATAGAGTATAAAGGGCAGAGTTAAAATCAAGATGCCATTAAAGATAAGAAAAAAAAAAAAATACAACAGACAATATAAAAATAGTGTATATAGTACTAAAGAGCATAAGAAAAGTTGTAATTTCCTGGAATATGTTTCCTTTAGATATTAAAATATCTACACATTAAAGAGCTGAGGAAAGACTACAGAGTAGTTGACTTGGATTATTGCACATGTACTGCAGAGATGTACTGATGTACAATCTCTAAAACGAAATTCTGATATATTCTGGAGAAAAAAAAACTTTAATCAATTAACTCATGGCCAACATAAGTGGATAAATAAATAAAGGTGCTTCATCAGTAGAGGAGTTCTGTATTTGGCATCATTTTAATGAGAAACATTACAGAGGCACTGTTGTTTTTTATTTTGAGAATCTGTATTGTCAACACAGAGCACGAGTTTAGGGAACCAATCAGTACCACAAAAATATTGCTAATTTTACTTTCTTTTTATGAACTGTTTGGGGATTGCTATTTACTTCTTACAGCTGAAACCCTTTCAGCAGATTGGCCCCCAAAGCAACCACCTCTGGAATTTCCTTTAGAAGCTTATAAAGCAATGATTTTGTAATCTGCGCTTTACCAGCATTTCTTCAACTATGTAGTAATCTCTCTCTATTAAACTTCTGAATTTGGAATAAACTAAAAGCATATCCAGCAGTGTAGTAAATTCACATTTTCGTCATTTTGGCACTGAGCAAACAGTTTGGTGTAAAAACAGGAAACGGTTTAGTCAGATTTAATGCCAATCAGTGAGGGAAAATAATAAAATAAACCACAAATAACCATACTTTAGAAGCAAGATTAAATCAAAATTAATTAAATATGTGTTTGGAAAAATCTGCCATACAAAAAGTAAAATACTGGAGTGTAACTTTAAAAAAAGTTTCACTCTCATGTTTAATGTTATACATGGCATTTGGACACCATGGGGACATGATAAGTTAATGATTTTCTTTTTGTTTAGCAAAATTGATTTGGCCAATGACATCCGAGGAATCAAGTAGACGCCTCTCCGTGGGACATAAAAACAATGAAAAGAGGAAGATCATAAAACCATCAGTCGGGTTCAATAAGTTATTAACATCCAGGTATTATATGTCTTCTGACTACATCATGTTTTTGCTCTTGTCGGTGGGTCTGGCTCTGGTTGCTGTGACTTCTTCAAGCGAAAGCATACAGGAGCTACAGCAAGTCACCTGTCCTCAGTTCTGGAACAGTTTCAACGGTCGCTGTTACAAGTACATAGCCACACATATGACCTGGGCTGATGCTGAGCTCTACTGTTTGTCACAGGACAGCAACCTGGTGTCCATCCACAGTCAGGAAGAACACAACTTTGTCAATTTCATGATCAAGAGCTTTGATCCTTCTCAGGCCTTCACCTGGATTGGACTCTCTGATATTCACAAGGAAGGATCCTGGATGTGGTCGGATGGGTCTAAGGTGGACTTTCGTTATTGGGATGCAGGACAACCAGATAATGCAGGTGGAAATGAACACTGCGGACACACCAACATGTTCACATATCATAAATGGAACGATTATGTGTGCTCCAATACATATGCTTTTGTCTGTGCAACACGCAAAATGTGTTGGTAATAGCAAAGAAAAACTTAAGATTCTACTGTCCAGGTTAACTTGGGTGTAACAACACAAAATAAATCTATATGATTAGAAAAGAAAGTCTTAAAAAATTTGGATGATGGTTATATATTATTCTTAACATAAAAACACTAAGAGATCATGAAAGAAAATGTTATTGTAAAATGTTATACCTCTGTGAAATGTTAACTCTGTATGCATAAAACTAAAAAGACTGGGTTATGTTGTGTTGCATCATATTTCTTTTTTTAATTTTCATATAATTTTAATTCCCTTTATATGTTGTTAAATGTATTTATGAGACAGTGACATATCTGTAAAAATAGTATTTGTGTGGGTATGAATAGTAGGATATTAGAGAGCCCACAAAATGCTGAGACGTTACGTGTTTAGGTGCATGGTTTAGTTTGGTCAAGATATAGCATTTAAACAAACATCCTGTGCTGTATAATAATCTTAGATTAAGGTCTATTCTGTGGATTATTTCCTTCTGATTAATAGCCGATTCTGTTTTCATTCCTGACTCTGACTCCAAGTCAACTTTGTAGTTTCCAATGTCACACTAAATAGACATAATAAAGATAATGGACACTGAGGACTGGTAAAAAGCACACAACGGATCCATAAATATCAGGATGGAGATATTTGGAGGAGACCTAGAAGTACGAACAGGCAGTTTATTCTCTGTAGCTTGCCATTTCATGAAAACAATAGTCACCCATTCGGAGTGAATCAAACAGAAACCCAATAAATAACACATAGAGCAGAAGATTTAAAAAAGTTGTTACGTGAACCATTCATCCATCCATCCCTCCCTACTTGTTCTCCTTCTTGCATGAATTAGATGCAGAAGATGATACTAATTATGTATCAGAAATATGACTGAAAATAAACAAAAACTTAGAATAATTTTATTAACAAAGCAAAAACATGGCCAGATAAAACGAGAATACCAAAAAAGCATATCAAAACCATAAAAAAAATATGATTCTTAAGATCACCAAATATTCTGAAATACATGGAACAAGATACAGTCATTCTAATGCACACACAAATATATTTGTGTCTGGGAGGCTGGCGATTTATTAAATAGTAAACAATCATTCCAACCACTAAATAAAGTAAACATGCTCAGATGGCGACGTCATCCGCTGTAATTAATCTTAATAACCAAATCAACACAGACGACATTTTTACCTGCACAAATGAAGTAGCCCTGAAAAAGTATGCTAGATAATTTTGATTCAATTTGGACCTTACAGTAATAGGGGGAATGTAAATAATCTTTAATATCTTTGAAACAACAGCAGCACATATGGAAGAGCGTCTTCTTTAACATAGCATTCAGCTGAGATGGAGTTGCCTTTATTAACCTACATACTGTAGACAAGTTGGCAGAGGTTTGCACTAGATAAATAACCTGTGAAGCGAGGTCAGAGCTTAAATGCATGCTGGGAGATTTAGTTACAGTCTACCTCTATGCAGTTAGACTAAACAGAGGAAAAATTCTGATATAAAGTGTGAAAAGTTATTTATATATATATATATATATATATATATATATATATATATATATATATATATATATATATATATATATATATATATATATATATATATATATATATATACATAAACTATAATGGATGTTTAAGTTGATAGATGTGTGTTAGTACTGCATAGAGAAGAGTAATATAACAATGCACAGTACAGAGAAATATAACAATGCCAAAATTTGCTATTCGCGCCTTGTGCAAAAATTCTTTTCAGGCTCATAAAGGACTAAATAGATGGGACGGTTGGTTTTATTGCTTTGCTTGGAAATTTATTTATTTTTTTTTTAAGATTAATACGTCTTTTTTGTTGGGTTTATACTGTAAATTATATGACCAGGCGACTTTCCCTAATTTTATGACTAAATAAACATAAGTACACTTCTGCTAAATTTTACGCTCAGACAAGTGTTTTTCTCTTAAGCTAAACTGCTCATTCGTAGTGCATCAATCTAGGACAAATGTTTCGTGTAAATAAGATTTATCTGTTGTAAACATTAGAAACAGATTGTACAGCTGGAGCAACCAGACTGCTGGATGATTTCCACAGATTCAAGGTTCAGGGTTACTTTATTTGTGCCTAAAGATTCAAAATATACCTACACACACACTGGAGAAAAAGAAAAAGAAAAATCTTAATACATCAACATGCTGAAAACCCAGCAAAGGAAATACCAGGACACGGAAAAAAAACTACATGCAGAGTTTCCTAAGGGCTCATCCTGAGGCCCCTCTTATTTAATATCTACTACACATTTTGCCTGGATTAACATTAACAAGGCAATAAGATACCATAAATAAGCGGATGACACAGCTTAACATTGCTACATGGCGATTGCACGGTCCATGCCAGGAGACAGCTCTGGCATTTCCTTTAGAAACTTAAAAAGTTATGATTTTGTCTAAAAGGCTTCCTGAATAGTTCTTTAAAGACTTGGTAATCTGTCTTTGTAAACTCAAAACTTTGAGGGAAGTAATTAATATATATCCAACAAGATCTACTAAATTCATCTTTTCATTATTTTGGCATTTAGCAAATAATTTCATAATCCTAAAACTGTTTTAAAAAATCCTCCAATTAAATGCCAGAGAGTGAGTGAAAAATAATGTGTAAGTGTGTGTTTAGGCTTTAAACAGATTAAAACAATTAAACAATAATAAAAAAACAATGGAGAAAAAGACACCACTGAAAAATAAAAATCTTTGTTCAAAAGGAGTATTAAGAAGACAATGTTTAATATATTAAGTGACCATACAGTTTGTTAATCTGTTTTCAACTTTAAATAAATAATAAATAAGAAATAATGGATACACGACTTTGGAAAGACTGTGAAATTAGAACAATTTTATACTGAAAACAAAAGATGAGAAGCAGGCTGGACGATATGACTTCTCTATTTATCCCTACAGGGAATTCCTTAAATGTCATTGTTTTTAGGAATGTGGAAAATATTACAAAGGAATAAATTCAATAATTATCAAATTCTGGACGTTACAAGAAAAGAAAACACTGCTGTCAAACTTTAGAAAAAGATTCGCTCTCATCTTTAAGGTTATACAGCCTTTTAGACACCATGGGGACATGCTTGGTTAATGATTTTCTTTTTGTTTTGCTAAATGCCTTTGACCAATGAAATCCCAGGAATCAGATAGACGCCTCTCCGTGGGATATTTAAAAAAAATGACAATAGCCAGATCAGATGACTGCATAATACCAACAGTGAGGTTCAGTGAAGTATCACCGTCCGGGTATATTTTCACCTCTGATTCTAAAATGTATTGGTGCTTCTTGTTGGGTCTTGCTCTGGTTGTTTCTCCATTAAATGGAAGCGTCCTGGAGCTACAGCAAAACGCTTGTCCCAATTCCTGGTACAGCTTCAAAGGCCGCTGCTACAAGTATGTTGGTAGACAAATGACCTGGGCTGATGCTGAGCTCCACTGCTTATCAGAGGGGGGCAACCTGGTGTCCATCCACAGTCTGGAAGAACACAACTTTGTCAATTTCATGATCAAGAGCTTTGATCCTTCTCAGGCCTTCACCTGGATTGGACTCTCTGATATTCACAAGGAAGGATCCTGGATGTGGTCAGATGGGTCTAAGGTGGACTTTCGTTATTGGGATGCAGGACAACCAGATAATGCAGGTGGAAATGAACACTGCGGACACACCAACATGTTCACGTTTCATAAATGGAACGATTATGTCTGCTCCAATACATACGCTTTTGTCTGTGCAAAAGAAAAAGATTGTAAGTAGCAGCAAAGAGAAACCTTTGATTCTATTGTACGACTTAAACCTGTTCTGAAGTCATGAAATATGAGTAAAAAATTGAAGATTGTGTAAGATTTTTGTGAATTGTTTTGCCGATAAAAAATAAAATGTTATAGCAAAATGTTTGCCCAATTTTCTGTGATGCAAGATATTCTAAGAAATGGCTCTGTGTGCAAAATGGAACTGAAAAGTATAACCTGAGATGTTTTAATTGGTTCATGTCATTTTTAGGGTATGCTTCAGTGTTCAGAGTTTTCAAAGCAGTAATGCAGTGACATGCTAAGGAATATGACTTTATACTATATATATATATATATATACAACTTATAATTCTGATATAATTATATTATGAAATTTATTATATATTTATTTATATATATATTTCAATATATATGGATGGCGTCGCATATGGTAGTACAATAGAAACCCAAAATTCACAATTATAATTATATATATATATATATATATATATATATATATATATATATATATATATATATATATATATATATATATATATATATATATATATATATATATATATATATATATATATATGATTACTACCATATGCATATTGTACTACCATATGCAACGCCATCCGAAGCCACTGTCGCCCCCCCAAAGTACAGTATATCAGGGACCACACAGCTGCCCTCTCTGGCACCTACCACTGTGTTATACTGGTTGATCTAATATTTTGTATACTAAGGTGAAATGAACGGGTTACAGAACAAAGATTTTAAGTAGAAAGGAAAAAGAGATGGGCGAAACAGAAAGCGTGTGTGCCAAGTGGACAAAATAAAACAACTTATAACATCAAAGATTATGAAACTTATTATATAGGCAAATACATTTTGAAATGTAATTAAATAACTGTAAATGTATCATGAAATAAAGAAATATATATATAAATTGTATGGTTCTCACAATAGTTTTATTACATGTTAGTGCTCTTAAACAAATTCTTGATTAAAAGTAAGCAAAAATCTAGCCCTTTATTTTTTTTAATTATTATTTGTTATCATTTTTTGATCTATTTGATTGCACCCATTTTTGCATTTTTTTTTACTCTTTGTTTTTAGCCTTTCTGTTTGTAAATTGATCCGTTTCTTTTGTGTATGTTTGTATTAATAATAAAAAGAAAAAGAAAAAGGGGAAAACACGAATGTGTGTGGAATCAGACAGGCGGGGTTTGTGGGGAATCCATCCAATCAGAGGAGAGGATCCTGCAGCAGCTTTTGTGCTGAAACTTCTCTGCCACGTAGAGAAAAAGCAGGCTGCTGCAACTGCTTTTATGTCTGCTGATGATCTGCGTGTTTCTGCTAACATCTCCCTGAAGCTGAGTGTGACAACATGTTCATGGTCGTGTTGAGCCTGATCGGCTCTGTCATGCTGGCATCCGTCTGCATCGGGAAGCTTCCTGAACCTGAGGTGAACATAGAGGTTCTGCACAGACCCTTCATCTGTCACCGAAAGTCCAAATACGGAGATATGCTGCTGGTGCATCACGATGGGTACTTTGAGAACGGAACGATATTTTACTCCAGGTACAGATGTTTACTGACTCACTAATGATTCTTTAAATTTCAAACAATTTGTAAAATAAATGCTCTTGATGTTTTCCTAATGAATCATCCGCCGCTGCTTCAACATGTTCTCTGAACTAGAACAGTGTTATTATCCATTAAGTAACAGTAATGTTATTTCTTCACATAAACTGGCCATCTGTTGATCAACTTGTTTGTGAGAATTAGTTGTCATCATATGCAGGGGCGGACCTAGATGGGGGACCAGGGACCTTAGAGTCATGGTTTGGTTTTGTTTCATTAGTGTTCAGTTTTCATTGATGTTATTTTGATTCTTGTGTTCTAGGTATTTTTGATTGTATTTGAGTTCTTGGATATTTTCCTTTAGCCCTCTTGCCAGTCTCCTTTTCCCTAGCTCCCTTCTGTTCACACCTGCTCCCAATCTACTAATTAGCCTGGTCTTTGTTTTTTCACGAGGAGTCTCCAGCTGTCAATGGGCAAGAGGCAGGGTTCACCCTGGACAGGTCACAAGTTGCAGGGCAACACAGAGATTTTTTTTGTTTTATTAACCTAACAGTCATGTTTTTGGACTGTGGGAGGAAGCCAGAGTACCCAGAGAGAACCCACGCATGCTCAGGGAGAACATGCAAACTCCATGCAGGAAGACCATGGGCCAGGAATCAAACCCAGAACCTTCTTCCTGCAAGACAGCAGTGCTACCCACTGCTCCACTGAGCAGCCCCTCTTTATTTCTCTCTCCCATATAATCTCCTGTTCAGTCACTCTTTGCTGGTTTGTCGCCATCACATTGTACCCTTCTTGTTGTGAGTATTCTTGGTTTTGAGCTTTTTTGGATTTTTGTGGATTTATATTTTTGGATTTTTGCTTCTGTTTAACTTTTGTCATTAAAACATTCAAGTAACCACCTCAAGCTTTTGTCTGCATTTGGGTCCTGTCAAACCTCCAGATGGAACTTTTTTAATAAAAACTTAATAAATAATCAATTTATGTAGATATTAGTACTTGTAAATATCAGTTTTATACAGAATGATTATTGATACGAGTAGGTAAGTAATGAGGATTGAAAAGATGTTTGCCCCAGAACTCAAACCTGAAAGAATTTTTATCCTTTTTATCTAGAAAGCACGGATGTTTGAATATATGCATCTATTTGTTTGGAAAGGCTGTAGGAAAGGATAGTTTGTCTTTATTTAGAAAATATGGATGTTTTGCTCGTTAATTTTCCTGTGGAAACAGTTTAGATTGACCGTGAGGTTCTGGCACTGATCCACTACCTGCCACCCCTCATTGTACACTGGGTATTGCCTGGCCACCCTTATAAAAAGGTTCTGGCTACACCTCTGATCATATGATCCTAGTTACTGTGTTTACCCCCCATAGAGAAAGCGTTGATATATATGCTCATAAATACACTTTAAATCTAGGCTTAAGATTACTTTAATAATTCAGACATTCCAGTGAAAGCTTCTTCTAGTGCTGTATGAATAGTGCTGTACTCCCTCCAGCCACTTGTTGCAGCACACAACCAGGAAAGCTGTAGTCTTAAAGGAATAGTACACCCAAAACATGATTAGCCTTCATTTTCTACTCACCCCCATGCTGAACAACACTCTGGAGTACTTTTTTGATATCTCAAATGTATCTGGAGATCTGGGAGGCTTCTTGCTGTCTGCTGACATTCAAATAATGGAGGTCTATGGTGACCGAGACAGAAAGGTCCATAAAAGTCCACAAAAAACGTGTCAATATTCCTCCATACTGCTCGTCCAATGTATTCCAAGTGTCCTGAGTGGGTAGCATCCAGAATGTACTCGAAACGAAGTCATTTAGAATGTTTTTAGAGCATAAACAGTAGTGTATAGGATTTCCTGAAAGCGCGCACATGCGCGCTCACGACGCTACGGAAGCCGGCAGACAAAAGCCGGCAGTCCTTTCAATTTATTATGGTATTCTTGTATTAACACAAAAATTATTGTTTTTTTTGTTTGTTTTGTTTTGTTATTTATCATCTCTATCTTGTGAGAATATATATGAATCCCCAATGCGTGGGTCCTGACTCAGTAAACATAATCATCCCTAAGGAAGACAAATTATCCTGATAAACCAGAGATCGTGCCTGACACTTAAAACAGCTATATGTGCTTCGTGGAACCTGGTTAGGCTTGTGGAATAAAATCTTTGAATATAAAAGCCGAAGAGGGCATAGCAGTATTGTTTTATACATTTATAGCTGAATTTTCTCCCCAAAAAAGTATTGTTGGCCAACCGTATATAACTGGTGCTAAGCAGGTAATTTCAAACAGGTTATTTTGATACATTAGATCTTAATTTTGATGGTCTAGCTGTAGAGAAACCAGCAACTGTTTTTCTTTCAATTCAGTTAATTGGTATAATAAAAATTCACAACAAATATCATCTCAATGCACTTTATTCAAGAGACAATTCTGGTATTATTCCTATACATTTTCTATTAGTTCATTCCACATTTTATATTGTAAAAAGATGTGTAAAAAACTGCTTGGATATAAAGTTTTTTCTGATTCTTATGAAGTGTCCTCTTTCTCTTTTTGTCCCCACCAGTCGAAGGAACAATGAGCAAGCAATGTGGTTCACGTTGGGCATCAGGGAAGTAATCAAAGGCTGGGATTTAGGCCTACAGGACATGTGTGCAGGAGAGAAGAGGAAACTGGTAATACCTCCATCCCTGGCCTATGGGAAAGAAGGGAAAGGTAGTGAGAACTTACCCTATTTTCAATGCATGCTACTACTACTGCATGCTACTATTACTGCAATGTGCTACTACACATGGTTAGTCTCTCTCCAAGTGATTAATGTATATTTCATAGTCATGCTTTCAATGGTCTTTCAATTGGCTTTACTCTGTGACATTCAGCTTTGAGTCAGCATGAAGCATGCAGACAGTACTGTGCTTTACTCTGGTAAGCACAACCTAAACTAATCAAAACCATAGAAGCTATCTCTTTTATTTATATATATATATATATATATATATATATATATATATATATATATATATATATATATATATATATATATATATATATATATATATATATATATATATATATATATATATATACTTAACATCCATAATCTTAGCTGAGCTACTAAAACCACCTAATTACAATATTTTAAAGTAATTTTTTGATAATCTGCCTATTAAAACTGACTTGTCGCTATGTTATCTGTGATTAGGTAAAATCCCACCTGAGAGCACACTGACTTTCATGGTTGAATTGATGGAAATCAGAAATGGTCCAAGATCACATGAGTCCTTCCAGGAAATGGACCTCAATGACGACTGGAGGCTCTCCAAATTCGAGGTAAACACTATTATTTAGTTTTTGTAACAAATATAGTCTACAGTGTCCTGAAAAGGATTCAACCCTGACTTTTCCTGATTTTCTATGTTTTTGCCTTTTTCTTACTCAAATATTTCGCGTGGACAAGGACAAAAACTAAACCGAGCTAGTCATATGTGAAGAAATAATAATTCCCACCTAAACCTAAGAGCTGGTTGTGTAATCCTTACAGCAAAACCTATATGACCGGATTTCTGTTAAGCATTATACTAAGCATTGTATTTTATATCAGTTCGTGGTTAGTTTAAATGACAAATATATATCATATCATTTAGAAATTACTCTTTGTATCAACGTTTGATATATTTCTCTGAACAGCTTTTTAGTTTAAACAAAAAAAAGCAAAACAAAGGTGTGTAAGGGTATGAAAACTTTCTGTTGTAGTCCATAAGTCATCCATCCCTGTGGTAAACATATGTTTGTTGCTTGTGATCCTAATTTCCCTTTTTTCTTATAAAGATTCAACATAATTTATCAATACAGAACATTTATTTGTTTGATTTCTTACACATCTCATCTTATGTCTTTCACTCTCTAGTTAACCCATCACTTCCTCTATTTGCATCTTTTAGGTAAAACAATATGTTAAGAAGGAGTTTGAGCGCTATGGCTACCCACCTAATGATACTTTACAAGAGAACATGGCGGCGGACATCTTTGAAAAAGAAGACAAGAACAAAGATGGCTTCATATCTTCAAGAGAGTTTACATACAAACATGACGAACTGTAACATCTTGGCTGGATTAGCTGTGTTGTGTATCTTAAGATACAAAGTTTCTCAGGTTATCTAAGCAGGACGCTTGATTGAAAAATGGAAAAATGCAGTTTTTAAAACTGGTTGGATCATATATTTTAAGTAGAATGATTTGTTTATAAAGTTTTCCAACTTTACTAGACCATATTTGGAGCTAACAGTGCGAGAGTGTTGGCTCTCACTGATCCATGAGCTGTGAAGAGAACCAGGTCTTAGAAACCAAGAATTTCAAAGAAAGGAGATCATTCAGTTTTCTATTAAAACATAAGATCAGGAGAAGCTACCTGCTCTCTTCAGAAGTAATTCCAACCTTGAAAAGTGCTTTAAATGCAACCCTTCATTCACAAATTATTGACTTTTCTGCCACTGATGTAGATAATGTAAAGGTCTGATTGGAACAGTAGGTCAAATGACTCCAATGCATCTTAAAAAGTATATATTTTAAAGGTCTTTGTGGTGTTTAAAGGTTATTTTACCATAGACATTCTGTTTTTATTTGTCTTTCATTTCTTTTTTACCCTGATAGGTTTTTAAAGGTAACATATTGAATCAATTTTTAAAGAGAAACTTTTAAATCTTTCCCAAAAGGGTTTGCAATCTTATAACTTGAATTTGATTGTATATTGAAAATATGTTAAATATAATACCATTTACTCTGTATTCAGCATTAAAATGGTATTAGTTTTATAAATTTGATGATTTTTTTTTCTAGAAATACAAAGTTGTGCCTCTTTGTTTAGTATTTCAAACCAGATAGGATTCTTAGTAAAGAGCCATAACACCTTTATCAAAGCCAGGTATTTAATATAACTGTTTGAACCTGTCGACATGGTTTAACAACAGACTGTATATAAAATTCTGTAGATTTTTATACATTTCCAATACTTTTTCTTTCACTCCTTGACATCAGCCTTTGATAGCAGAAAGCATCAAATCAATAAAATTATTTGTGCCAACTTCAGTTTGCTGATACTTTCACATTTAACCAACAGGTGGCGCTGTCTTCTCAAGGGTTAAACATTGGGTGAGCGGCTTATAGCGAGAAAAACAGCAGAACTCATTATTTGCTGACAAAATATGAACATCAAACCCACCATTTATCCCTTTCCCCACATGTCTGTCATAAACTTTTTTCTAGAAATGAAAAGTTACATGACAACAAAAGGAAAACCACTTCAGTAAAAAAAAAAAAGATTGCTAAATAAGCAGGTTGAGGATTGCCAGCACTAAAATTAAGTATTCATAAAATATGTTTATTCTTCAATCCCATAATGCAGCACAACCACTAAAATGTGCCATTTTTTTCCAGTAAAACACTAAAAAGTTTAACCAAATTCATGATAAATTCTACATAAATGCAGCAAAGACTTATTTAGGTGTCTTTAAAAAGTTGCGCCTTTAAATGTAGTAAACAAAGTACAGATGAGGTAAAGACAAAAATATTTTAGTTTCATTCTTCCAATAATGTAAGAATTTATAAAAAAAGAAAAAGGGGGGGGGACTGTCCCTGGACTTTATGTGTAGAGACTGCATGTAGATGGTTGAGCCCTCCTTCTCACACACATTGAAAACATTCCGCTGCCAAAAGGTCAGAGGTCACACAGTCAGTATAAGGCCCGACCCTATTTGACTCCCTCATACAATCATGGAGTATTTGAAAACATACTGATCATAACTGAGTCTCTTTGGCTGTTTTGTGAGGATCTGGAGCTGTCGGACAACCGAGGAGGAGCATCTTAGGAGCACGAAGGAAACTTGAGGATCTATGACTCATCTAAGGTGTGTCCTGATCCCAGGTGGTTTGGGGTTCACTGAAAAAGAAAGCAAACAGATAAAAACCACAGTGAGCGCTTAAAGATGGCGTTTAGAAAAATCCACAAGTATCAAGTATATAAAGTCATATTTTTTAGGCTGCACTTATATTTTCTGTGTGCTTTTTAGAGATTACTTTCTACTAGATCAACACAGTTACATGAAGTGGATGTAAATGTTGTTGCAAAATAGCTTTAAAACATTCAGATGGGTTGAAGAATGGCTATGACAAAGAACTCTGCTGAAGAAAAGGATTCACACAGCATGATGCAGCCATCACTGTGTTTCACAGCTAATTATCTGCAGTGTTATTCTTCCCATCACAAATAGTTAAAAAGCATATTTGTGCACATGTTTGTTTTATACCCTACAGCAAACTAAAAGCAACAAGCAAAAAAAAGACTTGCTGTTTTTCTTCAAGGACTATATTTTTGGACAATATACATTTTTTCCCACCTGGATTGCCAGTTAAGATGGGAGCCTATCTCTTGTTACCATAAGTTTGCAGCTGTTTTCAGTTTCTTCTTACAATGATGAACAAAATATCTTATGAGAGCTGGGAATATTTTTCTTAAACGTGATGCTGGTTCCAACCTCTCAGGTTTGTTGGTTAAAATTTAAGATGCTTTTTGTTGTTTTTTTTGTTTTTTTACAAACCTCTGAGAACATCACAGGAGATCTACGGATTCTAATCAGCCAACTTCTGAAGGCAGCTTTTTGCTTTGAGTTTTATTTAGGGGAACCAGAATTAAGAAGCATAGTACAAAAGAATGTAAGGAACCATTTTGATCCACAATTATACCCACGTTAATGATCCAATAACTTGCACTGTAGTTTGTAGATGTATACCATGACAAAATGTAAAAAAAATTGACATTTGCAAGGGACTATGAGCCTAGAGTTTCTACCTCTGTGTTCTTTACTTGGGTAGATCCGAGGAAAAGGCTTGAATTCTTCGGGTGGGGGGAGGTCTTCTATCGGGTGGAACTGGAACTTGGATTCAAAGTCTTCAACTGGAGAGAAAAGATGCATATAACTGTTAAAATGCAAGTTTTAATTAAATAAGACCCGAGTTCTGATCCTATAACATCTGGACACATCCGGAACCTTCTTGCGGCAAGGCAGCCATGCTACCTGCTGTGGCTGACACTAATTAAATGCATAAACTTATTAAATCTATCTATAACAAATGCAGGTATCGTTTTGCAAAATAGGAAGAACTATGTTTTGTTTAATAAAAAAAAAAACAATGAAAACCTCAATTTTCAAACATGTATAATGCCTAAACAGGGCAGATCTCTAACAGGTTCCTATTTACAAAACAAAGACAAAGCCAATATTCAGAGGTTTTAGAAAAATTAAGCACTCATCAGAAACACAAAATACATGAAAGGCACAGGAATCAAAAAGTATTGTACACTCTTTTTCACCCTCGATTTAATGTGCAGGGAAATACGGAAACTTTACCCATACTGTGGAGGTGTCCATTCCTGAGGATGAATGGGGGTGGAGGGGGAGGTGGTGGAGGGGGGAGAATGCGGGTGGACAGCTCTGTGGTGGGGGAACGCGCCGGAGGAGCTGGAGGAGGAGCCAGCAGCCGATCCACACCTGTCAGGGAGATGAGGCAGGCCAATTAAGTGGTTAGATCTGACTAGTCACCATGCTACCTTCTAAAGCCGGCCAACACATGCCAAATATTTCTGTGACTTTCAGGTTACTCTGAAATGCAGTGTTTTTCATAAACTCTCAAAACACATCCAGACCACAGGGTTATGTAACCCTGCTGGATTTAATGACAAGGTGTGAGAGCTTCCAGAGATTCCAACCTTCACAAAGAGCTGCTTCTGTTTGCTTACACAGAGAGAGAAATCTGAGGAGTTAATTCAAACCCTTTTTAATCCAAACGATTTTATGTTGCATCTTCCCACTGGTTTTGTCGCTACGGAAGCCGGCAGACACTGAGCAATTGTATCCTGCTTGTTGTTTATACTCCTAACTACAGAGAATGTATTTCTTTTTAAAAGCCATGCAATTGTTGGTATAATGAGGATAATGCAAACATTTTTACGATAAAAAGTTAGCATTTTATTTGCATTACAAGGAAATTCGGAGGGCACATAATAAACTGAACCGGGACAGTCAGAATCAGCCTATAGAAACTTTATAAGACTTCAGTGTAATAACCTGTTGCACCTGATGATTTATTTGATCCATTCTTTTTTCTATGATTATGCTACATGCAACAAGGGTTTTTTTTAAAAACTGCTATCTAAAGCCTTTAATATATCCCATATACGGTATAAATGTTTATGTGTAATTCTGTTGTGTTTTTTCAAACACCCCTTACACTATAGGGTTTTTTTTATTTTAACTTCTGGAATAAAAGAGAATGGAGAAGGAGGAGGTGCAATTAGCTTAGGATTTAACTGCCTTTCTGTTATTGTTTCCCCAAAATGTGACTTATATAGTTGAAAGCTGACAACCTTCCCCGTCCTATAAAACCTCTGTGTGAGGTTTTGACCCTCAGGTCATCCATAACAACCTGCATGATGCATAAAGCTGTAGACAGTAAAGTGGATATAAAAAAAAAAGGCTTCCCTGCTGACATCAAAGACACTATTTCACCACCCACCTAAACTTCTTGGCACAGATGGTGGCCGCCGAGTGGGAACGTTGCAAGGGAAGGAAGGAGGCAGGGAGCGCATGGCTGGTGAGGGCACAGGGGCCAATTTGGGTGGAGGTGGTGGAAGGTTGGTTGGGCAGCTTGGGGTTAAAGATGTAGGTAAAAGTGGAGGAGGCGGTGGTGGAGGAGGAGGTCCGAGGGGGCTGTCACGCAGAATAGGGAACCTAGATGGTTCTGAGCAGGCAGCGACGGGAGGTGGAGAGTAGAAGAAGCAACCTGAGGAGCGGTCCCCTGGGATGGAGGAAGGAGGCGGGGGAGGGGGTGCAGAAGGATGGGCCACATATGAGTGGTGAGAATGCTGAACAGGTAGCCAGGTGGGTCTAGTGATCTGGGATGGAGGGGGAGGAGGAGGAGGGCAGGAGGGAAGAGACGGCGGTTTGCTGGCAGGTCGCTCCTGGAGGGCCTGGGGCGGAGGAGGTGGGGGAGGAACGGAGGGAGGGGCTGGTGGAGGCGTTGGGGGCGCGGACGCAAGGAAAGGTGGCGGGTGTTTGCTGCTGTGAGACGGGCAGGGAGGAGCAGAAGAAGGAGTGAGGAGACGCTGGGAGGAAGTATGTATCTCTGCCGCCTTGTGAGACTCTGGAAGGCTGCTGGAGTCGGTTGGAGTAGGAGGATTCCACTGTGGCCTCAAAGAGGCAGCAGAGCTCGACCGGGACACTTTATAGAATACAGACAAGGAGGAGCATTAGGGTCATTAATAAACAACGGATGGGTGTATTAAGCACATAGTAAAAAACCCATGAAAAAAATACTAAACCCACCTGGTGTCTTGCCTGCTAAGTCTCTATGACCTATAGGCCTCAGGGTGGGAAACCCTCCTGAAAAGAGTGCACCTAAGCAGGGTCCTGTGGGAGCCATCCCAGCTGATGAACTATGAGTAGCAGCAGCATCTCCATTGTTAGGCTTAGGCTCTGCTAACAAAAACAATCATATATTATTAACATTTCATTAATACTATTTCATCAAATTCAATAAATATGATAGAACCCTGTTGATAGAAAATGCTGAATTTACGTCTGCTCGTGGGATCAGATCTGAGTCCAATCAGAGGATCATAAATAACAAATATTGCCTAAACGAACAGCATATTTCTGTTTTGCACTGTCTCAAAGCATTTTGTAACAATCAGTCCATTTCTATGTGCACAGCTGGTAAAATGACATTTAAAGCAGTGCAAATAATTAGTTAATTTAATAAAAATGTTTTTGAAAAGTGAAATTGTTTAGACAGAGATCAAAAATTACACGCTGTGTTTATTGGCCTCTGTGGGCATTCCTTCCTGAAGTTTAACAGAGTCCAGTTTGTGGTAAGGTGTTTAAAAATAGACCACAGACACACATGACCCCCCTTAAACATTTGACCTACATATTCTTCTCCCCGTCTATCATCTTTCATGTCCTTCTTACATGAACGCATCACATCAGGTCATTTTAAAATAGACTCCCTATCAAACCTCCTCAGAATTGGAGGATAAGGTCGTGGGACTTACTATCAACTGCAGGGGCACTACGGTCATTGACCTGCGTGACCTTCCTGAGTTTGGCGCCTTTCTGGATGTCGGCCAATAGGGCATTCCTTCCACCTCCTCTGCCAGGCTGGAGCTGAGGAGGCTCTGAAGGAGACTGTCACACCGAAAGGAATACAGATGGGTCTTAAAACAGTAGTGGATGAACATCAATTGGAAAAACAATATATGGATTTTAAAAATGCTTTTGTGAACTTGTATTCAGGCAACAACTCTGGGCGTATCACCATGTGTAAATCTGGACACTGAATTTTGTCTCCAATGCAAAATGCCTTAAACTCAATCAGACTGAATGGAAAGCACTTGTAACAGTTCCAGTCTTACTAGTGATTCTTAATTAGAATCAAGCCTAGCCATGTAAACATAATTAGTTATAAAATAACCTTGCTTTAAACTGCTGTGTGACTCGATTACTTATGTATCATTGGTCCTCTATGCACTATTTACTCACTACTGTTCAATAATAGCCTTCATAGAACAGCTGGATTTATACTATGATCAATTTACACACAGGTGGACTTTATTTATCGGATACGTTTAGGGCTGCAACTAGAGATTATTTTGCAAATCGACTATTTGTTGATTTTTTTTTTTGATTAATCATTAATAATCGAAAAAGCCAAACTTTTCTTGAAGATACTTTTCAAAAGTAAACCAGGTAAACTAAAACTTTTCTAATTGAGGAGTTCTGGATAGAGCATATTGACGGACGACAAATGTTTTTTATCTTGATACAAAATGTTTATATATTTTTTACAATTTTAATATGATATTTGCTCTAAGTGGATTTCTCTGTCCACTAAAGGCATGTTTTACAATCTATACTCCATTTATCGATCAATGGATTACTAAATGAGTTGATGATAATTTAAATAATCAATAATCATGATTAATCCCATTAATTGTTTCAGCCCTAGATACATTACTTCTAAAAGTGCATTGTCATTTTAATAGATGTCTTGTATGTGCACAAAGAATCTGGCATTAAAAGCTGGTTTAGATTCAGACTCTACTTGCTTTTATACACGTGTAGCATGAATTTAAATGCACTTTTTTCAGCTAAACCTTACGGTATATCCATTTTCCATTTTCCAAATGGATTACTTTTAAAGTTATTAATGGTATAATCTATATTAATGCATATTTAATTAGGTATATAATGATAATATGCAATAAACTCAAGTCCACCTTGTTAATGTGTAAATGCAGAGAGGTATCTGGTAATCTTTATACTGTAAACCAAAAAGATATTGATACAAACATTCCAGGCAATAAGAAAATAAGCAAAGAGAAAAATTGTATTCATCATGAAACTGTATACTACACACAATCAGGATGACTTTAGATTACTGAGCTGTTTCGTCACTGTGTACCATGCATCAGCACATTTGAAGAGAGGACACTGTGAGTCCACCATGGAAACATAACACCTTCCTGCCACCCAGAGACGGCTGCCTGTCCAGATCTCTGTGTGTTTGTGTGCAGAAATCAATAATACAAAAGCTGCATCTAAGTGTCAGCGATACGAACACGACAGAGAACAAACCAGAGGTAGAGAGGCTAACCTGTGGCAGGGAAGCGGAGGGCGGAGGTGGTGGAGGGGGGCCTGGCGGCGGCGGTGGGGGAGGAGGTGGGGCTGGCATGCTGTAACTGCAGATACCTGCTGAAGACAATGCACACTTTATTACCGCAGTTCCTTTTGTACATCCAGAACATCCAATCTTTTTTTTTCTGGTCATCTTAGGCGCGCTGTGTACATGAGGTCGTGGCTTATGACCGCCTGGCCTTTTTTCCTGGACGGAAGGACCTATAGCAGAAAACAGGAAACAGAAAGCCCTCCATCCTCTCCACAGAAACCTGACACAACTCTCCGCCTCCTATCTAACTCTTCTTCCCACAATACCCTGTTGCTGGGCTTGTGGTGGAAACAATGGGGAGTGTTGTTTGAGAAGCACTGGACCCCTACCCTTCAGTCACTCTGTGAGCTCCCATTTCAGTTAATGGAAGGAAAACACATTGAGGAAAGACTAGAGGAAGACGCCACACTGTACAAACATGGTGCTCCTTTTTTCTGAAAGTACTCAGCAGTTGTTACATCCAGGATGTCTTCTTATCAGTGACCCACACCAGCTGAGACCCATGAGGAACTCAGCAAGTTCTAACCAATGTTGTTCTGCAGAGAAATCTGCTCACTAAGAAACATTTTAGATAAGTCTGACTGCAGGCATCGTGATGTTTTTCTACACTCATCCCTTTCTGGAATTCACTCCTCCCCAACAATTTAATAAACGCAGAACAGAACCTGTATTGTTGTTAAACCAAATTCCCTTCTCCTCTGTTTCTATGCACAGTTTAAGCTCTGCATGTTTGAAAACGCACAAATTGTTCAGAGTTTATTTCTATCTTCATATTAAGATGCTTCTTGATTCTGCATGTTTAGATGTCAAAAGGGGTAAAGAGTTGACCTTGGTTAGCTGAGCAGGTGCTGCAGAGATTTTAAATATGCTATCTGCACCTGGCTTTCTTGTATTTCACCCATAAAGTTGTTTGGGCTTCCAGAGACTGAGAACAACACATGTGCCCGAGACAAGTAACCAGACTGTATACAGAGTCGGTCTTTCTGTATTATAGTCAGATGAGATTCAAATTCAGCATTTTGACCCAATAGCAAAACTCTGTGTGTGTCAGAAAACTAAAAGTACCCCCTCTGCTTCCTATTATAAAGCACAGTGATGGCAGCACCATGCTTTTAGGAGCATTTTTTTTAGCACAGACAGGAAAGCTGGTTAGAGTTAAAGTTTAGAAGATGGTTGGAGCTTAAAACTAGGAAATCCTGCAACAAAATCCATTAGAAGCTGTGAAAGATTTAAGATAGCAGAGATGAACTTTTCAATATTACAAGATTAACAGACAGATGAGAAACTGGAGGGCAAAATGCACAAGAATTGCCCAGTCAAAGACCAATTTCAACTCAGAAACTGAGCCAAGTTTAAAAGCTCATCTTCACAGACATATTTAAAACAGTCTGATAAGTATGAGATGTTTTGCAAAGAGAAATATGCATAGGTTACAGTCAGAAAGGCAAATGCAAATGCATACTGTAAAATTATTATTTGAAAATCGTGTTTGATTGTCATCTTTAAATCCAGTTGAAATTTGAGCGGGTCTACGTACTGTTAAATTGCAGAAGTGTGTGGCTTTGAGTAAAAACTTTTCTTTCATCAGATCTGAAATAAACGTGCATATGTCGGTTTGCAGGAAAGAAAAAAAAATCAAATTGTTACAATAAAACGCATAATAATAAATATATCTTACCTTGCAAAAAAAAAAAAGCAATAAAGAAACTTTCTGCAGATTGCTTTAGGGCTGGTAAACTCCGCACAGAAGTTTCTTCATAGGTGCACAGTTTATAACGGAACAGACAAAGTTATTTTAGTCAGATGGACGCATCAGACCAAACGATTAATCCAATGTAGCTCCTGTAAACACCTTTAAAAAAAATAATAATAATTTTTTTTAAATCTCATATCCATGTCCACCGTGGCATTAGCCTACATGTCCAGTTTGTGCAGCACTGGTCCAGCTGAGCAGCAGTAGATGTTGGTTTTTTACCAAAGGCGCACTGCAGGAGGCGCACATTACTTAGCCACACCTTAAAGCCACATAAACACAGGACCAATTGGAAGACATATTGCTTTGTCGCTTTCAAAAACACATAAGCAGTTAATTTAATTGTTTGTACTATTTTTTTAGGGGAAGACCAGTCAGTAGGCATTTAATTCATGCGAAATCATCCACTTTTAAAACAGTTTTAACCCTGTTTATCATCTCTACCCTACTTTCACAGCTATAGTATTACACAAATTCGCCCTCTTGCGTTGGAAATACGACATTACATCCCCTCTTTACTAAGACAATTCATCTTGAAACCATGCAGCTCGTTTAACCTGTTGAAATTTAATGACCGTGAGATAATTAATGCGGATCAAACTAAAAATATCATGTGATTTAAAGGAAACAATGCCTTATGACCCTTGTATGCACTTTATGCCAAAACACACCCTAAACCTTTGCAGCTGCAAAGGAATGCAGAGACACAGGTGAGGTCCTCCTTAAAGCTGAGGGATTGACTTTCGCTGGAGGCTCTGTGAATAAATTATTTGTGCTTGCTGTCTCTCAAACTTACTTCAAAAAGACACAGTCACAAGACACTGCCATTTTTCTACAAAATGGCATAATTTTCTGTTTACCTGTTTTTCTGGGTTTGCTTTTATTTCCAAAGAGACTTAAGTGATGCTCTCTATCAAGATGAGAGGATTTAAAATAATAGTTGTCCTCTATGTACTCAGCTTAAGAAACTCATCAGATTATTAAGCACAACCAGACACAGTGTTACAGTCAGCCGCTGCAGATTTATTTCTCACTTTGCCTTTATGCAAGGCATTCACAGATGATCCAAACTACACAGCTCCTGTTTACAAGATCCCCACATCTTTTTTTTTTAATCTTTATCTGGGCATCAGAAGCACATTATTTTCAGTAGTTTTCCAACAAACTGTATAAGACATGCCTGATTTAATTCATCCTTCATAAAAAATACATTTTGCTCTTTGCTGGTAAGTGTTGTGCATTTCATTAACCTTCATTAGAAATCCTTCAAACTGCTCAGAGTCCATCGTTTTGCAAAATCCTTGCAAAAGGTAGCATTATCCTTCATAAAAAAAATAAAAAACAAATAAAAATGATGTTTCAAATCATCACCATCATTTAAAAACAGTATTTTGCGGATACATTCATTATATTCAGAGAAAAATAGTTTTTGACTGCTTGTTTGTCATGATTTCATTAACTAGGGTGGTTCAGGTCTAGATTTTGGTCATTTCAATGGGCATCAAGATAAATGAAGGTTTTTAAAACAATAAAATAAAGAAAAAAACTAAAATTAAAGTGGTCTCAAGATCACAAAATAATTCCCCTGGTACCACTTACTATCATCCAACATCAGATTAATGAGGCCAGAGAAAGTATAGGATTGAGTTCTGTGTTAGCATGAAGCGCTGGCCCTCCCCAACCTGTTGCTGTTCACTGCAATTCATCTTGCTGAAAGTAGGCAACCGTGTTTGGTTTTATTTTCCACACTTATGGAAAAGATAAATTTAGAAATTTCAAAACATTTCTGGCCACAAAGTAATCTGACAGTTTAGGCGTGTGAACTTAATAAGGAGCCCCACCCATAACTCTTCTGTCTAAAACTACAGTTGGAAAGTACCAGAGTGGGTTGGTTTTGGCCCGTCAGTGAATGCCTCCACACTGTAGTACTCACTGTTCAAGTCGCCAGTCTATTATAACATGCTATACATTTCTGTTTCAAATTCGTATGTCAATAAGGTGATACGCACACTGAGTGCTTCCAATCTGGCCCGTACCCATAAAGGAAAGTGCTTTGTCATTTCTCTCATTTGTCCTTTAAGTCTCGTCTGTGGCATTCTGCATGCAAAATGGTTGAATAACCATTGTCAACAAGCATGCAAGCATTTGTAACACAACTCTACAAAATGCCCAATCATCTTAAAAATATATATTAGGTTATAACTCATATTTAGAATTTGCATTATTGGGATAAACCAAAACAAACATCACCAACATTCTGTACAGTACAATGTCTCATGAAATCCTCATTGAAATCCCACTTCTTTTGAAGCAATGCAGTGAAGCAGTCTTTTTACACATGCAGCCCTCTCCTCAGGGTCACCGTGGGTCTTCCCTTCCTGACGCTGCACCCTCCCTTCCCTTCTCCTCGATTGGAAGAGTTGAACGGGGCCTCCTCTTCTCCTTGAAGCGTCCTGAGCGGGATATCTTCATGTTCCTGCGACACGTCGTGTCGTTGAACACCGACTCCAGCTTGGAGTCGTCGAAAGTTTCATCGCTGAGGAGGTTGGAGCCCTGCGCGGGAACGGTCTGATCAGTGGTCTTGGAGGCAGAAGATGGTTCTTTTTGCCAGTCTTGTTGCTGTTCCCAAGGGTTGAAGTTTTGGCCCAATGAGTCTCCAGTCTTTTTTGTTTTTGGGATGAATACCTTCCACCATGGGGCCCTCTCTGTCATCTTGAACTGGTGGTTGGTTCTGTAAAAAGACACATTTTTAAAGTTAGCCTTTAGTACAGCTTCATTCTACTACATGCAGAAGATCTGAAGAACATCAGTACATATACATATGACAGTAAATAAAACCTTTAGTGTTGGATTTTTAAATTAAACCTATAAAACCACTTTCAGGGTTTTTTTTTTTTTTTTTTTTACATTTTATATGTTAAAGTCCTTAAAAAATAATGAAGTCCTCAAAGAAAGCAGCTATTGATATTACCATAAAACACCTGATTGGTGCATCTTTATACAGAACAATAATGACATCAATAATTATTATAATAACTAAAAAGGTATGATGTATTTTTTTTGGTTTTAGTTTTGGTTTAGTTATTATTAACAAAAATAAAATAAAATAACCAAAATAACCCCTATTTGTGCAAGATCTGCTCTTTCTTAAATTAAAAATAAATGCTACAAATTAAATAATGCTTGTTCATCTGCTTATTAATCCAAAAATGATGAAAGATAAAGATTGAAATGTTTAGAAAGACAAAAAAATAGCAACTTTACAGTACTCTTTTCAGCACTCCTGTTATCTGCTCTAAATCAATGTCTTGCCGCCTCACTAAACCCCAGACATGTATCGCCTTAACCTAACCTGTAGAAAACACAGTTTTGTTTTCAAAGAGTTCCTTTAACACCTCGTTTATACTAAACATATGTCATTTTAAGCCAGGGTGGCCCAAATCTTACCCTGAGAGTTTTTACTATATTATTTATTGAGATGTTTTTGAGAAAAAAACTCAGCTAAACACAAATAAAGGATTGAAAGTTGGAATTGGATTTTTTTTTTTTATGAATTACAAAAAAAAAATAACTCTATAGATTGTTAGTTGCACTTGAAATGTATATTTTAAATAGCTTTAACTTATTGAGTTTATCTTTGCTATTATTTTTAAAAGTCTTTTTCATTCCCCAGTAAGCAAATACATGATCTGTATTAAATTCAATCATTTATGAACACTGATAGGATTGGAGGCCCTAAGCAACATCTCAGTTTGCTCTTCTTTAAATATCCTTTACAAAGCTGCACTGCTAAATTTGTGGAAAGAAAAACAAATCAAGAAATAGATAAATTACCTTTATTTGTTCAATAATATACACACTAACCCTTGATTATTTATAGGGTATTAGTTTGCATGCTTTAATCAACAGATAGTTGTGTTGCTTTTGGTTTAGTTTGACATATTTCACAATTTTAACTAGGATGTATCGACTGATCAGAGAAAAACTGGCCAATTCTGAACACTTTATCTATATTTACCAGAGCTCAGAGAGAACTTTGAGACTCTGCATCAGAGCCAAACCTTTCCCTTAAAACACAACAAATCTCAGGCCAAGCTCATCTGTCATGTCAACACTGGGATATTTTCGCTCTGTGGGACCAAGTTTCACCAGCCAAACCAATGAATAACCTGTGTAACCATATTTAGCCTTTCTGTAAAACTGGTTCAATGAGTTTTGAGAACAAAAGCAAACAAATCACAATGAGAATCACATATTGAGATAATGCACAGGTGAAAATATAAATACATTAATTTAACCTTACCTGAGATATAAAACAATATGGTGACAGTCTAATGTACCCAAACCGGTGGGTTAATATTAGGTAAGTAGTGCTAAAATATCCCCAGATTTAGGATGATGGTATCGTTTCCTTCTTGGAGCGCAGACCAACAGTGACAACAATCCTTTAAATGGTCGATGGGCAATCCATTCTTTAGCAGAACAGTCCGCAGCCCTGCACACCAAACCACCAGCCTCGCTTTTATTCAACACTTCTCCTTCTCTCTGACAACTCTGGAGTAAAAAGGACAAACATATTTATAAGGAGCGGCTTAACCTCCTCTAAACCAGCAAGTTTCCACCCGAAACTTCATCTGGTAGCACCTGTTCTCCCCGCCGATTGGCTGAGCCGAGCGGGGCGCGTGAGAACAGCCCAGGTGAGTCCAGAGTCGAAGTGGGCGGGGCCTACGGTTGCTCGGTAACATACCCCATGGGAGCTAGCGCCTCTTCCGCGGAAGATAACGCACAACAAAAAAAAGGAGTCCTTTGTATCAGGTTTACCCAACCCATGCCGGGGAGCCAAATTATGTTTAGGCTGTTGCTGGTTATACAAAGGAGTGGAACAGAGTGGCGAGAATTTAATTCTTTATTCAGCAGGGGGTTATTTACACTGCTCTGCATAAAAACAGCCTACATTCAGGAAACTGGAGCTTATATGGATAACTTTAAAAGGTTAAAAACTTGGTGAAATAGCCTACTTTGAAAATCAAAATGTATTACCTTTGTTACATTCAAAAACATGGATATTTTGATGGCAAAAAATGAATGTCAATTTAGTAAAAAGAA